TAATAATGACTTGAAACCATAGCCAAGGAGCATCTATCCCTTCAGGGGAGCAGCTGTCTGCACAAGGTAGGCACAGGATGGAATCTAATTCAGACTTCAGAGGTAGCAACATTCTCACCTCTTTTTGAAATGAGACTCTCTTGCTTGACAGTCATCTCATAATAATGTTTGCACATAATAATGTTTGCATTTAGGAAATTAACCATTTTTTGTATTTCTTTCCTCTCTGCTGGTTAGAAATGCAAGCTGAAATTAAAAACGCTACTTGGCACTATCTGTTCCACAGCAAAAATGAATTATGCTTCCATCTGACAGCGAGAAAAGCATTCACCACTGGGGCATTCAAGTGTACATAGATTTAGGAGCAGGGGAGTTCCCAGAGCTGACGGGAGCGCCCAGGGGACAGCGGGAGCCGGGCCCGGTGCGGCACCGACGCCGCCGGGACCTGCCGGCGGGGCTCCCCGGCCGCTCTATTTTTACTACGGTATGTTTTGCATTCAGACTTTCCACTGCAGGCGGCCCGGGTCAGGGGATCCGCTCTGCCGGGGGAATCTGACAGGTCAGCTCAGCCAGAGTTATTTATAGAGGGCGGGGGACTGAGGGAAAGGATGCGATCGGCATCGTATTCTTCTGCCGGGGGCTGCGGACTGGGAGAGGACCCAGGAGCAGCCCCCGCTTCGCCCCTCAGCACAGCCGGGCAAGGCGGCCGGGAGCAGGGACAGCCCGCCGGACACGGGGATTTGTGCTGGACACGGGGATGTGTGCTGGACACGGGGACAGCCCGCCGGACACGGGGATGTGTGCTGGACACGGGGACAGCCCGGCGGACACGGGGACCGTGTGCTGGACACGGGGACAGCCCGGCGGACACGGGGATGTGTGCTGGACACGGGGACCGTGTGCTGGACACGGGGACAGCCCGGCGGACACGGGGACCGTGTGCTGGACACGGGGACCGTGTGCTGGACACGGGGACAGCCCGGCGGACACGGGGACCGTGTGCTGGACACGGGGACAGCCCGGCGGACACGGGCACCGTGTGCTGGACACGGGGACAGCCCGGCGGACACGGGGACAGCCCGGCGGACACGGGGGCTGCTGCCGCGAGAGCCAAAGGGACAAGGCCCAGGCGCTCTTCCTCCCTCTGTGCCCCCGCTTTGACTCAGGCAGCCCCTCGGGGAGCGAGGGCCGCCCCACTCCCGCAGTCTCAGCAAGCGGATGGGGCTCTCAGGCCCTGGCACCCAGAGTGAAGCCCAGGACAGTTGTAGGTGAAACTGCACACACTCACACAGCAACAACTGACTGGAGGGCCAAGAGAATTAAAAATTCAGAAGCAATGAGAATAGTCATGCTGGAGCTATCTGAATACTGTCTTCAGAACTGCTCTGAATGTGAAGACTTTTGCAAGGAGGCTTTAACCTTTCTTTCTCCTACTATGACAACCCATCACTTCACAGCAAGTTATCAACCACCCTTCTCTCCTGGCACTGAGAACTGCATGTACCCAGCCTGCTACTTAGGAGGTCCATATCTTTTCAGTAGGGAAGGAAACTGGGACAGATTACGAGCATCAGTATTTCAAACTGTAATCAGACTGGCCCCTTCTAGCCCTGCTGCTTACTTAGCTGCTTCATCCTGAAGGCATTTAAATAGCAGGAGGTGTCTGGCAGCCACATTTGAAAGGACCTTAGCTGCAAGTGCAAGTCTAAAACTGCCCTGCTGCAAGTGGCCTGACATTCACCCCTGCCAAACCCTGGCTGGCATTCAGAAACAAGACATTCATCTGGCCTTGTAAGCACTTGCTAAGGATACCTGACACGCTGACAGGACTCTTCCCACACAATGTAGTTGTAACCACCATCTTTTAAAACCTGACCACACTAGGAGATAGCGCCACTGTATGTAACTGCCTTAACAGCATGATCTGTTCAGCCTGAAAGCAGATGACCTGGCAGCCAGGGCCTCCTAGTCCAGGTGGGGTCAAAGATATAGCTCCCACATCTTAAGAAGTGCCAGTAGTGCTTATACTGTGTCTCCTGGATTGGGATGACCTGAACCTGCTGGGCCTCAGCATGGCAAAGACTCACAGAGCTCAAACATCCACTTAGCCACACTGAAGTGCTGTCTTCCTGCTTGTCAACAAAAGGTTTGTTAGTTAGAGTAGTTGAGCAGAAGTTGCTGGATTTCTTTGCCAGATCTAACCATCCGAAAATTCCCTTGCCTATTTCACCTTCATGTGAGAGGACCATTCTCCTTCTGACAAATGAGATTTCTGTCTGGGTGCTTATCCACCTCAGCCTCTGCACACATTCCTTGTCTGGCTATGCAAGTAATGACAAGAAATTATGTGTCTGGCAATACATGGACTTAATACAATGCCAGGACAGTAATGTTCCTCAAGGGAGCTGAGTGCTAAGACCTAAACACGTGTATCAGCTTAGCAGGAAAAGAAAAATTTTAAAAAGGGCAACTCCTACATTCAAGTAAACCCACATTTCACATTTTAAAATAATTACTGGCACTGTTTACAGTCTTGGCTTTGACTTGTATATATAGACATCATCTAATACAAAACTAACAGCCAAACAATAACAGAGATATATAAAATTGCCCTACACATATTTTATAGAACACCTCCAATCATGACAAATTGCCAACCATCTACATACAATACTTTTAATTCACTGGACACTCAAGTTCTCTGGATACAGGCGAGTCCCAGCTAAGACTTGTGGAAAGGAAGTGAATGTTTTCTTCAGTATTTTATAGTTCCACCTCCAAAAGACTCAGGAAAAACAATATTTTGTCCTGATGGCCTCATGAGATACTAAGAGCACAAGCAAACTCCTCATGGGAAAGCATTCTGTACTGCCTAGCTCACCACCGCAAGAGCCTTCTCGGGAAAATGAGTGCTGGTGGCTTCCTTAAAAAATGCATTCTGAGTGAGGATTATATGTGGGATTGAAGGGTTGAAGGGCCAGGCTTCTCCACAGGCAGAAAGATCTGTCTGCCTGTTGGGGTACTTCATAAAGAGCCTTTGGAGGAGGGGAAAAAAGTCATGAACATGTAATTGCTAAAAGGTTTAAACACTGTTTAGGATTCCCTTGTTCAGCTGGAGGAGTCTCCATCTTTCTACAGAACCTGGATGTCCAAGATCCTCTGGGGATGCCACCAGCTTTTCTAGGGAGAGCAGTTCTCCGATTTCTTGTATTACAACTTTTTAGTTGTTTGGACTACCTCAGCGCTACATTCATTCATCCATGTGCCACAGCACCCAAGAAGCTTATAACAGACATCTCCATCTGGAACATCCATTACAAAAACAAACAAAAGAATTTAGTCCTGCTGACTGATCCATCTTTTAGGAACACAGGAAGGTTGTACATAGCCATATGGAAAAATCCACTACCATGCTCTTACTGCTGAAAGCCAAAACTTCCCAAGAGATCCCGTGAATGCATTAAAAGCTCTAGATATTTGATTTCACTTCAGAGTTTCATTATCTCAACCAGACTGCTAGTAAATTAAGTTAATTAATTAATCACCTGCCATGAAATGCATCCAAGGATTCTGCATTTTAAATCAAGTGGAGCAATGATACTACTTAAGTATACTGGCGTGTTTATAAAATTGCGAAACCCTCTGCTGTGCCATTTCGGCCGCGTACGATCGGCGTGACAGCGCGAGAAGCTCCGTCGCCCTCCCCACAGGTGCCACGCCTCGGGCTCGGCACTCCGGTATGGCGCAGCCGGCTCCCCCGACGGCGGAGGGCGAGGGCAGCCGCTCCCTCCTGCGGGCGCTGCCGCTCGCTCGCCGCGGGCTCCACACCGGCCCCGCTGTACAGCTGCGGCCCCCGCCGCGCACACTGGGGAGACACCTGCGCCCCGGCTAGCGGAGGGAAGGGCAGGCTAAGGGGACCCATCCTGCAAGCTCGCACCAGCGCAGCAGCCACCTTCTGCAAGCGCCCTCTCGCCTCCTCTTATGCAGCCTCTCCCACAAGAGCGGCAGACCCGCTCATCCCTCCCCACAGGTGTGTGCTGCGAGACTGCCCACACCACACCTGCGCTATCCTCTCCTGACACTTACAACTATACTGGCTGGCTCTCCCTGGAAGGATTAAGGTCTCCCTGTGACCCTGTACAGGATAACCTCATGGGGGCTACCAGTACCATCCCGCCGGACAGCCGTGAGAAGAGAGTGGGGGTCCCTCCACCCGATCCCAGGGTGCACCGACGCAAGGATAAAGCAAGCTCCCGCTGATGCCGGGGGACAACTACCGCGCCAGGGTCACGGTGCATCGGCTCCCCGGGAGCCCAGCCGACGGCGGAGCTGCCACGATAGCCCTGACAGAGGTTAAGCCTAAACTTTGCCGCCGCAAATCCTGGCCGGACCTGTTGTCGTCGGATTCAGCCAACTCCTTCCCGCTCCTTCCAGCGGCAGAGCATTTACCGGGCACAGAAACCCAGCTGATCTTCCGCGCTTGGTGAGAAAAGCGGGGCGAGGGCGCCGCTCGGCTCTCCCTGAGACGCCGACAACGAGCGCTTGCTGGCTGCGGCTCACCTGCAGCCCGCGCCTCTGAACGCGGCCGTTCCCGGCGCGTCCCCGCAAGTTTCGACACAGGAGCGCTCCGGGACGGCCCCATCACGGCAGGTCACTTGTCCCCGGCCGTCCTCCAGGCCGCGCCTCCAGGGCACACGGCCCCGTCCCTGCCTGCGAGCCACGGGTCCGCTCTCGTTACAACAGCTCGGCGGGCTCGGAGAGGGGGTGACCCCTTCTCCGCTTGCCCGAGCGCCCTACCGCTCAGCCCCGCGGCGGCACCGCACGCCGTGCGCCGCGCACGGGATCTGCCCCCGGGCCGCCGGCGGTGGCCCCTGAGCGCGCTGCCCCCGCCCGCAGTCCGGGGCTCACCGAGCGGGGAGCCAGCCGCCCTCCCAGGGCCCCTGCCCGCGGGCCCCAGGCGGCCCACAGCGAGGAGGGGAGCGCCCTGAGGTTCGCCTTACCCGGCTGGCGGAGAGGACCTGCCGGTAGCGCTCCTCCTCCGCAGGCAGGGCAGGAAACTGTTGCGTGGAGAGCATGCTCTGGCTGCTGCTGACCCCTCTCCACTTTGGCCGCCCCCTCACCGTTCTCTACCTCGGTCTCTGACGAACTGCACCCTCCTCCTGCACAGACACACTTGCGGGGAGGGCTTCGCATTTTGTCTGCTCTGCAGACTCCCCCTCCCCGCTCCTCCACCCAATAATAATAAACCTCCGCGAGAAAGAGCCACATCTCCACCCCTTTCGCACACAAGGCTCTACCCCTTGGGGAAAAGCTGAGAGACAGCTTACTTGCTAATTTCGCTCTAAAGCCGTCCCCCAGGGAGGGCGGATGGAGTGGGCACAGGCTTTGCGCCCCCCCCATCCCCCCATCCGGTTAAGGGACGCGTCGTCACGCTGCGAAGGGCCTCAGGTGGCAAGATAAGCCCGAACCAGAGCTGATGTAAGGGGCAAGAACCCGCGGAGCTCGCCCCTCGCACCCCTTACCTTGGCTCGCCGGGGCTCCGCCGCGCCCTGGCCCCCGGGCCGCCCGGACGCGCACTTGCGGCTGAAGCGATCTGGAGCCAGCCCAGCGCACGGACCTGCAGCCGCTCTCGGCCCACCGAATCGATTCGAGGCGCAGAGTTCGGCAAGCGTGGGCCAGAGTCCCGTGTCCCTTCATTTATCCGCAGTTCCCGGGTGGATTTCCCTGCGCTTTGTTTTACGTTACGGTCCGGCAAAGGCTCTCTTTTCAGCCAGGGACGGAGAGTTTCGCGCCTGCGGCGACTGCAACGCTTCCCTCTAGCACAGCGGCTGGGCTGTCGCAGCCCAGGCTCAAAGGCTCCAAAGAGAGCTGAAAGAGGCGCTGGCACAGCAGAAGCGGAGGGGAAAGAGCTCCGGCAGGAGAAACCTCCTGGAGCCAACGACAGGTTTCTCCAGCTCCTTCCCCGCAGGAAGGCTCCGGTCCCAGACCCCCGGCGACAAGCCTGCCGTGCCCCGTCCCTCCCCTGCGAGAAGCGCTGCTCGGGGGAACAGCGGCGACCCGACGGCGTTACTCCTTGTCCCCGCGCCGGTCCCGGTCCTGACCGGCCCCAACGATCCGGAGCTGGAGGGATGTGCTGGTTGTTGCATATTTGTTGTAGCAAAATTTTCTGGCCAAGAAACAAGTGCCGCCTGAAGCTGCAAATGACAGAGCAAATGCCCTACCCGCATGAGATACCAGCTTTTAAGACCTGCATTTGACCCTGTATTTGCATTCAAAGATGTCAAGTCTGACTGAAGTCCTGGTCTGTGCATACAACGGAGCTCACTAATACTATCCAAGAATGATAAAGTCAACAGGACAAAAGGCAAGACAATGAGTACAACATGGACAGAAGTGTGTGCTACCAGAATATAAACAGTTCAGGACCCTTCCAGGAGTCACAGAAAGATGTCACTGGGGCTGCAGCAGGTTCTGAGATGACATCGGTAAACCAGAAAGGCTTCCAGTTTTTACTGTGCATGATTTAGTGCTTCCGAAATGCTATCATTCAAAATGCAAATCAGAAAACACCCAAGAAAATGTGAACCACCACCTCTCTATGAATATAGCTTCCAGTCCTGTCACCACTCTTGATAATCAGTGAGGGTGATACTCCTCATAAGTGTTTATATTTGTAAATATAAACACATGGTGTTATATATATTTATATATAAATAAATAAGATGAACACTTCTTAGCTTCCCCCCCCCCAGTTTCTTTTCCATACCTGTATTTCCATACCTTCAGATTTAGGCCCTATTACTTTGTGTGCAAATGTGCAAACAGGAGTGCCAATGTACTTAGAGGCTTCTGCTCATGGTAATTCAGTGCTGCAATTTTACCCAACCAACCAAACATCTCTCCAAACCAAACTCCAGCAGCTGGAGGACAACAGTGGTGGTTTTAAAACAATTGCATTAAAAACAGGAAAAGCATTGAAAGAGAGAGAAGCAAGACCATTTATGCAACATCATCATATTGTTTAATGTAAAACAACAAATATTTTGTGCTTAATGCAGGAATCAAACCATAATGTGTGATTCATTACAGAGATTAGGTAGCCCTGTCAAAAATTCTAATAACAGTAAATGAAAACTTGTATCAAAGAGGTGCAGTACATGACTCAGACTGCAAAGCCAGCTTGGCCTTGGCTGAGCATGGCTTCAGCTGGAGAACTGTGAATTTCAAACTCCAAGCCAGTCTTGATTCCTAATCTCAAAATAATTTCCTCCATTAGGAGAGCCACTGAAACTAGAGTTTCACAACAAGATTCAGCAGCACACAACAAAAGCCTGAGTTCTGGTTTTGTTGGTAATTTTATGAAAATCACTGCATGAGCAACAATTATTTAGAGTAAATAATGCTTGGTTGAATCAAGCCATAGTTCCCTCAGAGTATGACGTACTTCTACACAGTTGCTGTTTAGCCTACCTTACAGCTGAGTTTGATGTATCACAGTTCATAGACTATCCATACCACAGAACTGTTTTCTTGTACCATGGCATATAGATGTCTTAACGAAGTATTCAAGTAATTCATTAACATCTAAACATCTTTCCATCTTTGTGGAAAGAAGCATATCTCATTATCGTATAATTAATTTGACTTCATTTGATTTTTTCCATAATTTTTACCTTGCATTTCTTTTCCTAGGAAATACAAAACACTACAGGTTCTTAATTTTCTAATTCTCTAGAGCAACAGATTAATTTACTTGAATAAGAGCAGACAGGAATACAAATATATTCATGAAGCAAGGAAAGAGAGATATTGAAATGGTCACAGATAACACCTGGTAACAGGGTGCAACCCAAGCAGAAGAAGGATATCCAAACTAAATGAAAATGAGAACGAGGTCACACATGAACTGTCCAAACAAGAACGCTCCAACCTAAAGCACACATATCAAGCTTCCACTGCCTGGCACTGGAACACACTTCAGACCAAGCATCTCTGTGCTCTAACCTCACAACACACAAGCTCACCACTCAGAGAAAGCTGGCACAGAGCAGATATGTTTTGGAGCCTGAACTACTGCTGAGATGACAAACTCAGAGTTCACTGCTTTAAAGCCACAAGAGATGCTTTTATGAACAAATTTTGGTACTATCTGCTTAATAACATTTCCTTCTCCAGTAATTAAGATCAGCAGAAATATCTAGTAAATCAGCCTCCCTGTGAGGAAAAAAAAAAAAAAAAAAATCTACCAAGTCCAGTCCCATTTGTTTCACCTTAATCAACTCCCCCAACCCATTCTCACAATTCTGTCAGAGCAGTAACATGAAGGAACACAATTACATAACTCCAGAATTCATCTGAGAAGTAGAAAAGGGAAAAAGCATACCTAAAACTTGGGCTACAGTGTGTCAGTCATCATTATCTGGGAAAGTTTGCTGCTTCACTACACCAGTCCTTGAGAACAAACAATTTTTCAAGGTTTTTTTTGATACATTTATTGTCTGACTTGGTTTTTACATTAAATTAACACACACAATGGATTTGATATTGTTACAGGGAAAAAAACTTGCCCTAGGAGTTTCCAATCCCAAACATACTGACCAGTTATAAGAATCTTGACTCAGTGGAAGGACAAATTTTCACCACAATGCATCCAGAATCAGGAAAAGCCCCAAGTTTTTTTCATTTTACACATAGCTAAATATTATTTGTATTAAGTCATCATCAGCCTTCTATTGCTGTAATTTCCCTTCAACAGCAGGTCAGATTATGTAATTTGTTTTAATGTATACTGATCAATATGCATTTTTTGGTAAGATGTTAACATCCAAAATATTTGCTCATTACATTATGTAACAGTACATTACATATCAACTGCTCCCAAACCCTACCTTTAGTTCAAAATTTCTTCCCTAAAATTACCATCTTTTATTAATATTGAATAAAAGGTGATTTTATCTGTACCTTTTACTTCAAAGGTTGTTGTCAACATGCAGCTCCAACCAAAGAAAGGCAAAATATTAACTGTAAAAATATTTTAAAGAAACAAACAAAAACCTAGTGATTATTAAACTGCAGATTGCTTGAACCCCCACACTTTTTTTTATGCCAAGAAATAAATATCTGGTTCAGCAGGCAGAACAACAGAGTGCAAATGACCCAGATGGTTGGATAAGATATATAGAACTATTTTGAATAAAACTGCAAAAATAGGTATGCCTTGCATATGCAAGGTTCAGAAGAGATACAAATCCTTTAAGAAAGGGAATATGCCCACTCACACATATATTTGTATTAACAGAATGAATCTGTATAGTAAGAAAGCATGGCAATCTTTAATGAAGATGGACAATGAGAAGCCTTTTCCTCTCTAGTATTTCCCACAAATATGCAGAAAAGAATACTAAGAACTTCTTCAAACATGTAACAAGTGCAGTTAATTAGTATAACCCACTAGAGAGAGGTTTATTCTCTTTGCTGTAGAAGCAAGGATAAACTTTCCATTGTACTTATTTTAAAGCCAGCAGTAAATAGAAAAATTAGTGATAGTCATGCAAGATAAAAGCTGTTTCCACAATGTTCTCATTCATGTTGACTTCCATATTTCAGGCAGAAAGGTATCTTTTTGTACTTTCGGATAACTCATCATATGTCATTTCCTCTGAAGAGAAATCTCTCTCCTTTTTCCTTAGTGACAGAAGAGTTACTGACATATGCAGTCACACAATAGCATCACCTCATTCTTGTTAAAGAAAACATACTTATATCTTAAATTATCTTCCAGGCATTAATATGATAGAAATAAAGTTAAAGCAACTATATGAAACAATGTTTACCTTTTATACTAGAAGAAATTCAATAGAAATGCAAATTTGCACAGTGTAATTTCAATTAATTCTACAATTAGAATACTAATGGTCAGACACATAAATAATATGCATCTCTAAAATTTAATTTAAAAACAAAATACTATAGAAGAGCATCAATCCATGCTAAATATTGCCAACTTTTCCCCACCTTTCTCCTCATTCAAACTTCTGTGAAAAATTGAAAAGAAACTAATTTTATCCCTGTTTTCTTAATCTATGTAATCAAAAGCTTCTGCCTTCTTTCAGCTTTTCTACTTCATTTTCTTGCTGCTAAATCAGAATTACAATTCTGATCGTAAAACAGAATTACAGTTCTGTTCAAATTAATACTTGGTCCCTTCACAGGTAAATCAAAATCAACCAGAAGAGCTTTCAAGCAAACTGCAATATTTTCTGCTAACTCATACAAATGGTCCCACTGCTTTTGCAGGATTGGTGATAAAATTATACGCCTGAATTACAAAGGCATAATACCAATACCTGTTGGCCACGCACCCCATTTTTTGCAGGAGTTTGTAATCACTTTGCAGTAACCTGCAATGCTCAAGTATCAGCAAAAAGTTTCTAGCAGAGGTTTAAAAATTCCGTTTTCTGATTTCCCAATTCCCGTATTTAACTTGCAGACTCTCAGCTGAGACTACATAGCTTCTCCGATAACCCTGAAGCCAGATAAAAACCTTCCAGCTCTACCAACCAATACTGATAACCTAAAGCAAGGCATTCAAAACGGTCAATAAGACAATATTTAAACATTTGGAAGTTTAGCTAGATGGCTTTAAATGTCACTACCAAGCACCATCCAAATGGCTTCAGAACATCATATAACTGTATTGTTAGACTGTCCAATTACATTTTTGCACACTTCTGCAAATATCCAATTCTGACATTTATCCATACAAATGGTCAATTGATACCCCTAAGTTTAATTTCAAATTGTTTTTCTGCTGCTGGAAGTTGGAGCAACAGTGAGAATGTAGCCCTGCACCCTAAAACTTCTTCACATCCATGTTCAGCATATGTATCTGTCCACTAAAAGAACTTTTCAGTTAGTTCAGTTTTGAGGAAACAAGGGTGGGAAGGGGCAGGGTGAAATAACAAAAAAATCAAATCCCACAGTTTGTAAGGGGGGCCACTGTTTTGTTTGTGATACAGCTGAATTGGAAGATAGTTCACATTTCCTTTATCTGAACAAGAAGGCCCCAGAACATTCAAGCCTCAGTGACCCAAGGTTCCCTGTTAGCTGTCAATCAGTTCAAAGCATAGAAATTATTGTGTGATACAACAAAGATTAGCCTAAGAACACTAACCTTCAATAAACAACTAAGTTGATTTTACAGGAAACATATTCAATAAATCATTTTATACTAAGCTATTCTTAATATTATGAAATGGAGACAAGGAAAAATAACAGAATAATAGGTGTTAAGAAATCTCAGTCAAACTATCAGCACTTCAGTGTAGACTAGAATCTACTATTACTTTCAGTGTCTGACTTCAGTTTTGTGCTGTGAATGTAGTAACACAAAAGGTGACATTTCTTCCCTCCTCTGCATTTTTCTTAGCAAATAGTATACATACATTATCTATGCTTATTAAATTCTGTTACACACAGATTAACATTCTAGGAATAGTAGCTACCTAAAGTCCAACTGAGGTATATTAAATATTGAGTTGTTTTCAGTCATTGTAGACCATGAGCCATGCAACCATCACAACGGCAACTCCGAACACTGGCAGCATAATGAGGTTCTTGTACTTTTGCCATGATGATTGTTCAACTTCTACCTCATCCTTCCTTCTCTTATTCTTTCTTCGCCCTTTTAATCTGTTTTCAAAAGCTTCCAGTTCAGCCTAAATAAAGACAAACACAAGTAGTTAACATTCGTATCAGAATTTAAAAAAACCCAAGGAAATGTGAGGGTTTAAAGTAACATTACCAAATACCATTTAACAGAAGTAACCGACAGCCAATGGAAGTTACACATCTCAGAGATGATACAGTAGCACCACATCCCACAGATACAAAGTGCATTGCTTTCAAATATTAAACCATTGTTTAGTTTCCTATAAAAACATCGCCAAAAATGCAGCCAACTGAAGTTTTGCATTCTTAGTTTAACTCAGGCTGAAAATATTATGCTAGAAATAAGATTGTTATTTCCATGAAATATGTTAAAAATAGGTTTTTTTCCTATTAAAAAGCACACTTGCATTTAAGCTATTTTACCAACTTCTATAAGGGCTGAAATCTTCAAAGACATTCCCTTGCAATAAAGATGCACTCTACCAAAATAAATTAATAAAACCATAAATAACTAAAACGCTATGTTATTTCCTTCAAGTCTTTGTATTTTTTTGCATTGCATGGATACTACATTTTTGATTAATTGCTATAATCTTAAGATACACACAAAAATATTCCATTTGTTAATTGTTATAATTTGAACATTTAATCACTCAGACAACTGTAAGAGCTAGATAATATCCTCCAGTAGGAAGCACATGCCTATAGGCCCAAAAATGGAGCAAAACAATTGCAAAAGAATGCCAGGCTTCCAACAAAGAATGGTAGTTTCAGGGTCCTGTCTGGAATAAACAACAGGATCTCTGATCCCTGTTCCTCATCCCCCTCCACATTTTTTTAAAAGAGCATCCTGAGAATACAGAAAAAACTCTACTCAGTGTACAAAGCTGAAATCAAACTGAACTAGGCAGCCTAGAATAAAGACTGAAGACTAGGATGAGGCTCCAATGAGAACGTATCTAATTGCTAGGAAGACCTGAGACAGACTAAAATCAGAAAAAGTCTGATGATTACCTGGATTTTTGGTCAAGCTGTTAATTACTAGAGAAAACATGGGGCAAGGCACTAGGGAGCAGAGAAACCAGATGGAGTGAAAGGGAAAAGAGATGGGAGTAGCAGAGCGCAGCAAGGCAGGACTGGCTGGGCAAAAGGCACAAGACTGAGCAGAAGCAGAGGAATCATGGACAGTGAACAGGGACAAAGCCTGGCCATGAGAGGAAATAAATCTACGTGACTACAACTGCAGTGCTGCCAGGAAGAGGGTCTAAGACAATACAGTAAGTGCATTATAAAAACAAGAAAAAGACTGTTTTGGGAAATGGACAGAGTAGTAGTTCAGTAAATAAAATCTTCATTCAGAACTCAAGGTTGCCTGATGTCTTCCTCCACTAACAGCAAATATTTGCCAGTTTCACAAAGCAGCTCTTCCCTTCCTGAGCCAGATACCACTGTTAGCAGGAGAAAGGGACCTATTTTGATGTCTATTCCTTTGTACCTAATAAAGGCAGAAATTGTTGGCACTTCTTTGATGATATGGGAGAAGAGTTCAGACAAAGTCACAGTCTATTTGAAACAAGATTACTCTCAACTAGCTAATCCTCCCTTAGAAAAGCAAAGTATTTTAATGGAACAGTTTTCAAAATCCAAAATCTGGAGGAAAGGGCAGAGTTTTTATGGTTTTATAGACAACATGGCAGTATTTCATTTTAGACAGACACTCAAGTAATCCGGGCTTCTATAGTTACTATACCTGTGATCTGTACATTTTAAAAGCAGAAAGCTCTATGAATTACAATAGTTAAAATATAGGCTCAAACAAAATTATGTAATAGCTATTGAATTGTTTTCCTAATGAACTCTACAAAAACCTGTCTCAAAATAAATATATAACTTGAAAAACAAAAAATAGAATGAAAAAAATTTGAGGCACAGAATATGAGTGAGAAGCCATCACTACCCTTGAAAAGCTACCTACAGATTTTGTGTAACTGTCACATTCCTGAAGTGCCACCTTAATGACCTCTGAAATAATAGTTGTGCCCAGTCTTCAAACAAGTTTAACTTTTCAAGCTAAAGAAGCCTAGGGTTTTTATTTAGATAAGAACCTAACTTCTTTGTATATAAACATAATACAAGTAAAATGACATGTATTTATTTGAACTGCATACTCAAAACCTCTAGTTCAGTGTTGCTCAGGCACTGGATTTTGTTCTTTCATGTGTTGTTCACTATATTCTTTCTGCACTGAAAGGAGTAGCATTCCCATGGGAAAATGTAGTTAAATGAATGCAAGTAACAGTGACAAAGTATCCTCACTGAAAGTGAGGATATATTTTTATTAATAGCGATGGGGAACATTTGACTTTTTAATGCCTAAGGATCTGTTAAAATTTTTTCTTTGTACATAAAAAAGGGAAAATAAATCTTTCCTACAACTCATTAAATTACACTTCAGGTTCAAGACCTTAACTTCCAGAATTGAAACTCTAAACAGTCAGCTTGAAAATTTAACCAAATATTTTACAATGGAGAGGGACAGAGAGACATTGGTCAGAATTGTTAAATAATCAAAGCGCTGATCTTTTTTCCACCTCTAGCAATTGTGAAAACACTGGCCTCATAGGGTGCCTCTGAATTAGAAGCAGAGGGAAAGTCTGGCTGCTAGGGTCATGACAAGAAGCCTGGCCCAGCCATCTCTTTCACTAAGAAACAAGTGATTCCATCTGTAAATGGTATTAGCAAAAGCTGCTGCCAAATAAAGCAAATAGCAAAATATAAATGCACAGATTTACTAGAGCACTAACTAATTTGTATATAAAACATTTAATGAAGTACTAATCAAAATAGGTTTAAGAAACTGTGACTAATAGATGAACAGTCTCTACAAAAATGTGCTGATGACATTGGGTAAGGTGGTACAAGATGCAAACTTTTGTCAGAAGGGCATAAATTAAAAAATATACTCTTAATGTGACCCAACACCCTACAATAGTGATGTCCTCCAATTTCCATCAACAGATGGCAGATTATGAGTTCTAACTGGATGGGGACCAATGTTACATAAAAAGGCTGCAGCAGTTGAGGTTAGTACTTGTATACAGTTCTAGAGCTTATTTATTAGTTACAGCTGTCTCCTTTTTTTTTTTACTATTTGTTTTGTTCTTTATTTTTTTTTTACAGTTTTTGTACAACTATTTCCTAACGCACTAAACTAACAACTCTTAATTAACGTTTTAATAGGGTTCATTATGTATAGGTGAAATTTTCTATCCCTGAAGTTGCATCCATCACAAAACACGTATGCAGGAGCAGTTGCCATATATTGCATAAAGTTACTATTGTTGAGCTGGAACTGTGAGACTTCAGAGTATGTGCAAGTAGAAAGCAATGGCAGTGTGACTGCAGAGAGAAGCAATCACTGCTGAAGAACCCAGCCAAAATCCAGCATACTGTGTTGGTAGAGTGCATCTGCTACTGTTTCAGAGAAGCTTCCTTACCGAGACTTTACTAAGGGACTATAAGTTAAGTGATTTTGAGCAGAAATCATTAGTATTTGGGTGGGATGCCATCTGGAATGCATGCAAGCACTCAGTGCAAGACAAACATCAGTAAATTTGGCTTTCTAGCTCTAGGACTGTAAACGTGTTCTTAACATGTTTAAATGCCCATCAGCACACAGATTTCCTGTGCCCAGTTTGTTTCAGACATCTGTATGCAAGTTACACTTCCTGACCTATATGCCAGATGTAACATTTCCAGGGTCAGCTTAGAGAAAAGAAGAATTAGTAGAACTGTCAAGGAGTTATATGAGGGAATATGTGCTCAATATTGTAGACAGCTGAGATATGAATGTTGCAATAAACATTGCAGAATGATCACAAAACAGTCCCTGGTGCTCTGGAAAACAGATGCATAATAGATGCTTTTCTTGCAGGATAAGCAGACAAGGTTCTCCTCTGACAAACAAAAATATGTCTTGCCAGAGCATTTTAGATGTAACATTTTCATTAATTGCTTAGAGAACTTAAAAAGTGTGTATAACAGAAGTTGCAGCCCACAGAGAAACTGTCTATCCTAAAGAGACTAGGAGGATGGCACAAGTGGATCCACTCAGTAAGCCTCCCTTGCCCCCTTTCAAGAAGGTAGCAAGCCAGTGATCCCTGATAAAAACAGAGTGTGACATGCAGGTGAAAACACAAGTGTAAACTAAATACATAGATGATGTGATAATTGAGCAAAAGGAGTCAGAAAGCACATACCAGACATGGAGTATGATTTAGTGTCAAGTGCTCACTCAGGCACAGGCACACATGCATGAACCAGCTGGAAGGCATGCAGACTCCAGATGACAAACCTGTCCTAGCCATCACCAACTAAGCTTAGTGTTTACCTGAATATGATTAGTATCAGCAACTCCAGGCAGCTGGCACAGCAGCTTTGTGGATTACAATGCCAACAACATATCCTCACCACCAACAGCATCACAGTAAATACATGTTCCCCCCCCACCCCAGACACTTTGAAGGACAAAGATTCATCTAGCTGTCTTTGTTCCTTCATGATAAGAGGGAGAAGGGGAGCTTCACCCAACATTTAAATCTTGCAGAGGATATTCAGTATGCTATAGTGTTTATGCTGTATAAAGTGTTTGACTAAAATAAAGCATACTTACTAGTTTTAAAATAAATTACATAATATAAAGCTATAGTAATACAAAGTTATCATTTTGCACAAAATCATGAACATTGTTTGCGATAATGTGGCCTCAACCATTGTAAATAATTTACAGCACACAGAGTATGCTAACAGCTGACGGGAATGACTGTAAATATCACATTAAAAACTATAAATCTTTAATAGCATAAAAATGACATTATTTACTAACAAGAACAAGGTGAGGATGATGCGGATGAGGAAGAAGAAAGGCTAATACCTGCTGTCTTCGCTTCTCCTCTTCAAGAGCAGCTTTGGCTTCTGCTTCTTTTATCTGTCCAGACACACAAAGTTATAATAAACTGTTGTAAACAGCAGCTAAACCTATAATCTTAAGGAGTCATAATTACTCCTATAGAATGGTTCTCAGCAAAATCTGCAAACTTTCCATCATGTGAGTTCCACCATTCCAAAATCATATGAAAAGTAGTCATGCGATTGATAACACTACAAAAATATTTTGCAGTGTTCAAGAAAGCAAATTAAATGCTAGAAAGAATTAAGAAAAATAAATGGTGCAGAAAAAAAAGGTCAATTTGTAAAGATGCCACATACTTGAATCTTAGCACCTGCATTCCATTTTGGTCCTACATTAATAAATAAATGTGAAACCTGAACATATACAAAAGACAACAGGATGGAGTGGCTCTCATCTGAAGAGATGCATAACTAGGATTCATCAGGTAACTATTAGGACACCAAATCCTGAAGAGTACACAGATGGCAAATAGAGATAAAACATCAGTAGTTATTTTTCATAATGCAAAAGCATAAAATGAATTTACCAGGAGGTTGGCTCACAATAGTGGAAAGTATTCTACTCCCACAGAGTATTTGGCTAAATCTAGAATTTCAGTGCTACAGGCATAGTAGATGCCAAAAGTTTATGTCAACTGAAAAACAACCAGGCACGCTAATAGGAGATAAATCCAACAAAGGCCATTAGAGACACCATTTCACCCTCTTCAGTTCCCACAGGAAGAGTATATGGGAGAAGTTTATATATTGCCCTTTTTTTGTATATTTTTTAGGCTTTTAGCATTGCAGTCACTGAATCACTCCCTTAGAAAAGTTAGATGAAAAAAATCCATTAATATCTTGAAATGAAAACAATCTTGATCCTAATAGCTGGATGATTTGCATCCTACCAACAAAAATAGTTCACTGTTTGCACAGGTAGAATTAATTAGAAATAATTTTCAATTCAAGAGCTTTTGATGACTAAGGAGAAAGCACACCAGCTTATGCTTTAGAACACTGTTGTTCAAACAGCAGGCACTAGGGGCAGGGCCAAAAGCACAGTCCTATTTGCAGGTTTTCAGACTATTTTAAATTACTAAACTTTGTATCAATTAAAAGCACTATTGAGAATTTCATTAATCTAGATACAATGGCAGAGTTTCTTTAGAAATGCATGTAAAGCACCTTTTCAGCCATGCACATCTGAAATCTGAAAATCTGGTGTGCAAAAAACTACACAATGAGCTCCGTCATTTTTCACTGCCATCTAATGGCAAAACTTCAGCTACAAAAGAAAAGGTGACCTTTAAATGTGGAAAAGAGCAACAGAAAAGCTTCTTTTTACACTGGTGTGCTCATATTTGTATAATGTAAAAGGTATAACATGCACAGATAAAGGGAACCTTTACTATTATAGTCATAGCATGGAAAAACATTTCTAGGATTATTTCTTTAATAAAATGTACAGTAAAAGACACATTCAATTCCTAGGTGTCTAGTGAGTAAGAAATGCTTTCTCAATAGGTACCAGACATGAAAAGTTTCATTAAGAATTAATGCACTTTGGTTTTAGAAATTAATGAGTGTTTTGCAAATGTGCAAACTAATTTATCATTGTAAATGTCTACAGTTTTCAACAAGTTTTCTTCCAGTCTGGACACATTAAACAGTAATAGATATAAATAAACCACTTTCATCAAGTGCCTATATTAGTAGACTATTCTAGTATGTCATTTGCAAAGTAAGTCAACACAGGCTACAAAAAGGTGCTAGAAAGAACTTAAATAAAACTTTCACACTTTATATAAAAACCCCAAAACCAAATAAATACCCATTCTTCTGATAAGAAGGTACACATAGCTAGGTTGTGCCATCCAGTATGTCTGGGGCATTGCTTACAGCAGAAACTTGTAGCCATTTGCTCACTGCATTAGACCACCTTTCCCTGTGGATTACAACACTGGGGCAAGAAATTGGCAGTAGTATCTGCTCCAGTCAAACAGCACTGATTGCACTACACTGAGACATCCTGCTGGCTCTCAGCTCATGCAGTCTTACTGTGAGCTCACCTTGCTTTAGGGAGGGACTCCGTATATTATGAATTTATCTTCACATTCTTACTGGAACTGTTTGTTGTGGTTGGGATTCCCTAAAGGCATATCCCAAGAGTTTTAGAATCCAAGCTGCTTGCAATGTTGCAGGATTTGGTCAGTGTGGTATTTGCTAGAACTTGTCAACCAATCCTCAAAATCTGAGCAAAAGTTGACTTGTGAGCTTTACCCACCGAGTTCTTGGGTTGTACATTTATCACATGTAATACGTGATAAACCCAAGCAATTTATGCATCAATTATTTTTGTGTATGCTTTTATTAAAGGCTTGTAACAGCAAGGATCATATCTTGTTTCTCTGTGACAGCACACAGCAAATTCTTTACTTCATAAAACAGCTAAGCTAGGGAGAAGTCACAATACCAACAGTCTAAGTAGTATTCTGCAGTTACTGGAAAGTCTCAATTCTTCCAGAATAGGATAACTAATACCATGTAGCAGATTATACTCCACACTGGACAAACTGAAAAACTGATAGCTGCAAAACCTTCACTGGAAAGACAAATCACAATGCCCTGTGAAGCAGTCTAACTCTAGTCTTACAGCACTAATGACTTTTATCGTCACTGATCATCACTTGTTCTCAGTGAAAGAGGAAATAATCAGTTCCAATCAATTCAAAGAAAAAAAAAGAGGAAAATAACGTAATATGGTTTAAAAATAGTATTTGAGTCAATTAATGCCATTCATAAATTCAAGACTGAAAAAATAGCTACTATTCAACAGCACATCCACTTACATTGCATTTCTGCAGGTACTGCCTTGAAAAATAATGTGCTCTTTTTTCTACTTTTCTTGAAGCTCTGAGAAGAAATTATAGCTCCAATGGATACATTACCTCATATGCTTTCCGCTTCATTTCCTTGCATAATGCATCACATTCCAGTGAAGCTTGGCCTTCTTGTATCTTGCTGCACTGTACTTCCTGTTAAGTATAATTTGTCTTTTTAATCATTTCCCTATATAAGATTTTAGTTGTTAGCTTCTTTATGCAAATAATAAAAATTTCTTATTTAGTAAAACATTGGCTTTACATATAAAGCTAATGACTGAATGTTATTCCAACCTGTAATTATGTATTAAATTGTCCTTTTTTTCCCCTTCTTTCTAACAAGCTAAGCTGAAAAGAAGAATAAATTATAGTCCAGTTTAATTTTTCTCCTCTTTATTAATTTGCCTTAGACAAGCAAAATAACCTTTTGAACCTTTGCATTTAGAGTCTCAGTAATTTCATATATATTATCTTAACTGGCTTAGATTACAGGACATAGTCTGCTCATAGGGGGAGAAATTAATTCTCAATCATACTTTCTCCCCTTGTTCTAGTATTGAAGAAATTTTTAATAAAACCAAAAAAGAGGTTATCTGTAAGCAAAGGCTGATCAGTTTTAAGCACTTATTCTATATATGTCATCTTTTCTCTTGCTAAGCATCCCCCCTGCAAGACTTCTTGGATGCACAAGACATATTTTGGATTAGCTGAGGACTCTAAGGAACTGCTGGAAGGTTCAGAAGTTAATTTGGTCCAGAAAGGTAATTTAAACATTTTTTAATTAAGACAGATCATGGGGTATTTTCCATTAAGACATTATAATTTCTCAAAACTTCATATAAATTTCTGGTTTTCCCCTCATAATACTGTATAGCTGTAGTAAACTTGTTACATTACTTTGTCCTTATCTATGTTAGAAGCTAAGGATGCTGATGCCCATTCTTGCTTTTAGGTTTGCAAGGAACCTTAATTACTTACATTAGTTCAGGATTCACAACATCTATGCTAATTCCAGCTTCTGCAATTTTCCTAATATTGTCATAAAAATGTAATTTTTACTCTTAAATCACTCCAGGTCATCTGAGTATTTTTCTCACAAAACAACAAAAATTTAAGTGTGAATGAAGATAAAGCTATTGCAAGTCAAGCAGCTAACATATTTTAGAATTAACAAGATTTCATATTCTCCAATGAATCTTCTGATATAGTAACCCAGATCTTCAGCTGATTTGAATTGTTACTGCTCTACTACAGTAACAGGCCCCATTCCAATCTGCAGCATCCACATCATCCATCCATACAAGCTCAGGAACATATAAAGAATATACATCCTTTGAAAACTGCAACTTTTAAATTTACCTTTTTCAGTCTCTTACAGAGACACCGGAGTTTAACTTTCTGACTGCAGTTAACTGGACAGCTACCTGAATGGCAAATCTCTTTACACCGGTGACCACAGGGCAACTGTAAGGAACAAAACACAAATAAAACTCCCACATCAATAAAGCATTGTAAAATTACCAAGAACCTATGGAATTGGTTTTATTTCACACAAAGAATTTTAACAGAAAGTCATTCAGGTAATCAGTCTTTTAACTTGTGAAATAATTGATTTTTTTTTTTCTTTTGTGGGGGGAAATGTTTGCTTCTTATTTACTGGTTTTCAGTTCCTGTAGGATGATTTCTTTTTTATTGGCACAGCTTGATTAGAAGCCAATTTCTCCTTTTATATATTTCAAGAACAGTCATTTCCCCAGTAATGTATACAATAATCACCCTAGCTATCTTTGTGCTGGAGAAATACAAATGGATAAGGTAAAAAAACCCTGAAAACTGATATTATGTGTACTGTAGCTATTTGTAGATTAGACAGAGTAATAAAGGAAGAGGAAAGAATTAGAAGCAAAAATACCACAGAAGAAATCTCATATTCAAACATTAGCTGAACTATGCAAAAGTCAAATAAAGGTCACCAAAATTCTTATAATGTCAAAAATAATTTCACAAAATCCTCAATTTCTGCATTTGGCAGATTATCCTATTTCTGCCATCTGAAAGATAAGTACTTTTTTTACTGCCAGTGCAATTTTTAACTTACAAAGAAAATATTATTGTTCATTTACCATGTAAGAATTCAGTTACTAGTTTAAGTATGCTGATTGCTAACAATGTAGCGGTGCTCCCAGCATTGCATTAGATAAAATATGTCAGGAAAGTACACAGATTTTTTTTCATTTTTAAGAACTCGACTAAAAATATCCCTTGCTCATAAGAAGTCTTCACAGTAACAATTTTTCATTTTCAATTACATAACCCAATACTGTTAATAACCAAAGATAGAATCTCAAAGAAGACATCTAAGCAATTCACTTATAGAGAGTTTTAAAGCCCCCAACTACTTAAAATAGCATTAGACAATGTTCTTTATCAAAAGTGAAATTTCACCTCTGCACTGTCATCAAGGAATTAACACAAAATTGAAAATGCTCTAAGACATACAACTTTAAAATACCATTATTAAAAATTTAAAATGTATATATACTACATCACTTCATCCACCATGAGCTAGTATCATGAAACACACACCTAAACAGAACATGAATCTTTCAGACTAAAATTATGGAACACATACATGTCTTTATGCCCATGACATTCACAAGCTGTTAGAGATACTTCATCCTTTCAGCTCAGTTTCTTAGTTACTGTTTCAGCACATTTCATACAAGACTAGAAAGAACCTTTAAGTTACCATGTTCTGTCCTGAAATCCAGTCCTCCTACTTGTGTATGAGGCAAGTACCTCATATATCCTCCCAGGACTGGATGAAAGCTTACCGTGGAAACAGTGGCTGTTCTGAGCCTATTCTACTGTTTCACTAAGGATGGTGCTTCATGAGGTCACTACAAGATGCAAGAGCTTTTATTTGAGTTTCCTAGGTTTGTTCTAGCTAGTCTAAGCTGTAGTTCTTATCCTCATATTGAAGTATTTCTGTCTTTTCTTAAAAGGCTCTTTATTATCATAGAATTCCCTTAATTGAATTTCAACTATGTTCAATCAATGTTTTTGAATACACAGGCAGAACTGCATGTAATATTTCAAGTGACATCTCAGCAAGAAGGACTTTGTACAATGCCTTAATTGCAGCCCATTCTTAGTAGACGTTCCCCAAAACATCTTCAGCTCTCACTGCATTTCTCTCCAGCTAATTGTGCTGTGAAAATAAGAATATCTGCTGTTTCCTGGGAGCTTATTATAAGCTTCACACGCATGGTCTTATTGTTTTGGGGTTTTTTTCTGGTTTTATTCTGTATCACAATACATGTCTTCTACATATGCACCTCCTCAGTTCTCATCACTGACAACACCCCACAACTTTTCATCAGAAAATTACAATGTTTTTACTGCCAAGGTCATTACTGAAAACAATGCAAAGTTAAGTGTCAGTTCAGTCCTTGGGAAATCTTCCTTATTGTTAATACCTCTTGCTCCATCTTTTTTTTTAGTTTTGATTTTTTTTGGGAAGGAAGTTGGGTGTTTTTTTCAAAAGATAATCAAATACAGTTGTTTTCTTTAGCCGCCTTCAAGCTGGTATTAACCTTCTCCTGTATCTGAACTAGATATTCACTAAATAGCATTGATTCACTCACTCTGCTGAATCCATATGCAGCAGATCTCATCTATTCACTTTATCTGAAGGGAAAAATACATAAAGTGGTCACCTTATCAAAGAAGGACTCTAGTTTTTTCCAGGAACAACTGATCATCAGCAAATATTTTTCCCCAAAATAAAAAAATTATTTTGCCTAATTTTGAAAATATGAAGGAAGAAGCTTGTCCAAGCCTTGTATGCTACCAAGGCGAGACTACCACCCAGGACATGGAGTCTAATGGCTGAGTCTCCTCACAACTGACCAAAGTCTCTGCAAAACCAATTTGCTAATGGATGAACACTCTCTCCTGGCTCCCTACACAAGAGTATCAGACACAATAACTCCATCTAGTCTCACCTGCAAGTCACCTCATGCTGGTTAGAAGTATTACTTCCAGCTTACTCTTCCATAGTAATTAGGCAGTTTCATTAACAGCATCAAAGCCCAAACAGTTGTGTCCTAAATGACATGTCAGAGCTACAAATTCAAGACAGTAACCCTCACCTCGACCTCTAAGTACTACTGCAATAAAATTCTTAGACACCATTAGACCAAAATATTTATAGCACAGGAGTATGTTTAATCCAACGCTGAAAAGCAAATGTACAAATTTCAGTTTCCCTGCCAGTTTTTTTCTTGTGCTATATTTCTGTGTGGGGAACTTTCTTCTTACTCCCTCCACAGTAAAACCAACACTAAAAAAAGTATCAAGAGAAGCTGTGAAATGAATGACAAAACAACATTTCCCCATGATCACAGAAAACAAAAGCAATCATTCTGCTGCTTCTGCTAAATAAAAAAATGTAATGAGAAAGGATTGTTCTGCTTGTTTTTAAGTGTCAGTGCTGAACTACTTGGTGCTGAAACAGCAAATGTGTGCCCCCTTTAGATCCTTTTCTACTATACAAAATCTCTGTCAATAGCTTCTTGACTATAGCCCAAACTGGACAGGCTTTATGTTTGATATGACAAAGCCACTAAAAGAAGGGATTTAATCCACAGCTCTGAAAAAAAAAAATAAAAAAACCAAAAAAATATCCTACAAATATTTTTTCCATAGGCAGTGCACAAGAGCTAAGTACAAAAGAGAATTTCACCACTTCCAAAGACAAAACTAAATTTTTACAATCCACATACATTTGCAGTGTGTGTTTGCAGAATGGAATTTTATTTCCAGAATGCTTAATTAATTCAATGCATTAAAAACCCAAAAAGACTTACCAGAATGGAGTAATATATTTCCCATCAAGACAAAAGGAGAGTGCAGAGTAAACTACAGAGTATGGCTATTTTGTAAAAAAATACTAACTACATGGAATAAAGTATTAAATACAGATTCACAAATACTGACAGGAAAACAATGAAAACTGACAGACTTAAAATTTCTATGTAAGAATTGTCTCAAAACATCTGCAAGCATGATCATAAGAATTTAATCACCTTGATTAAGAGAAAAATAAAGTTAAATTTCCTTTAACAGGATATCTTGTTATTACTATCAAACAAAATAATTAACTTTCTAATGAAAATATTTCATACATAACAGCTGTTGCAGCATTAAAGATACTGCTTCTCCCTAAAGCAGAAAGGAAATGCTGGAAGTTACTTTTTTAGTTTTATACTGCCATAGCCAAAAGAAAAGCCTGAAAATTCTCAAGTTTTTCAAGATTCTGTAGCATTTTTTCAAAGGACCAGACAAAATAATTTGTTTTCTTTATCCCCAAATATACCATGGTAAATGTAAAACAAATGTGGTAGCTGTCCTACCACTGTCTACTAATACTGTCTACTGCAATTTCCATTAACCAAAAATATCTCAAAATGACAACTGCTTTACAATACTGCATTGTATTGAACCTAAGTTGCACTATGGTAAGCTAGGAGTGATAGTGCACACTGATTTATAGGAAACATCAACTTCACTGAGCTCTGCATATGTCTCAGTATCAGTTTCTGACATGGAATAATAAAATTCTCAAGAAACACTAATTTGACATTTACTTGAGGCTTCCAGAACTACACACAAAAATAATTCCAAATTTGTTTTGGGCAGACATTTTACATCTGCAATCTGTAAATGCTCTAAATTCACTAGTCCTATCCATCTTATCTCTAGCCAAGTTGTTTATTTATAAACAAGTTCTTGTCTCACAAGACAAAAACTTAAAAACAACAGAATTGGCTTGGGGAGAGGTGGTGGTGAGAGTGGCAGGGTAGTGTCTGTTAAGGCTGCCCCTTCAAATTGTGTTTATTCAATGACTGCTTTAAAAGAGAACTATCAGTATAATTTGTATTACAATACAGTACCTAATTTTCTCAAAGATGCAGAGAACTATTTTGTTTATAAAACAGAAATAGACAAAACATCCCTAGAGCTGTTCATTATTCAGAGAAATGGAACAGATTTTTTAGACAAAAACATGGTAAAAAACCCATACAGTACCCATGTAGTTACCAAAGAGGATCTGAAGAAAGTAGGATCTGAAGAAAGCAGGATGAACTGTAACACAAAGATATGAACTAACTGAAGCAAGAAGGTACTAATAGCTAGTAACTTCCCTATTTCATGAAAGACAGTAAGAGCTAGAGCTAGCATCACAGAGAAGGAATAAAATGCATTTTTCCATCATCAATTACAGTAAAACAATGCTCTGGGTAGCAGAAGCTAGAAGAAAGCCTTATTTTCCAAAGCATTTATAGGAGTAAGAATTTTAGAATTGCTTTATAAAGCTAATGTTAATTCTCCTGCTGTACTCCTTATTTCACACCCCACCAAACGAAGTAAAAAGACATTATCTGTGGAACAGGGCAATTCTGAACTGCAAGCTAAAGTTTGGGACTACTGCTAAGTGGATTTAAAATCCCAGATTAAGTCTGGGGAATATGTTCAGAAGAATCACAACAGTTACATTAATCAAAGTCAAAGATGAGCTATGGGAAACAAAAAATTCTTTGAAGAGAAGCTGAAGTACAGAACATATAGCTCATTATAACAGATTGTAAGCACTCTTGTAAATACAGAGAAGGAAGTTGTGGAGCAAATAAAAACCAAAGTAACAGAGAAGGACATGAAAGGACAAAATTAAGAGGTAAATGGACAATTAAATAATAACCCAAAGTGTTCCCCCACCAGGAAAAAAGCTTTCATACCTCCAGATGAGAAAATGGTGACAGGACCATTCATTTACAGAAAAAAATTCCATCAGATGGGCATCTGGTGGATGCAAAAAAGGCAAAAAGCAGAAGACACAAGTATGTACAGAACACAACCTTCCTGTTGGGGTTAACACAATCTTGTCTGAAAAGTAGAGGATCAGACACTTGGGAAAGCAGAAGAAATCTTGTAAATCTTTGTATTTAAGCAAAATAATTTTTAAAATGTTTTCTAATAAAGACAAGCACTCAAATTTGAATTTTCTAATAAATGGATGATAATGTAATTCCTGCTTTTCCACTTGACACATTTTCTAACCCTTCAGTGGGAAATGGAGTAAAGAGCTGTCATTCTCAGCACAACTAATGACAACTAAGGAAAAAGCATAAAATAGCAAGTAATGCAAGGACTTCTGAAAGCACACAAGCAGCACACAACTGCAGTATTGGGAGGGACAAGGACAAAGTCCTTTGGCCCATCCCTCACATTGTGGGTAACACTGCTGCAAGAGAAATCCTGAAGCATTTCTAACCTGCTTCTGATGAAAACTTGGTAGCTTCTTCAACCAGCTCCTGCCCTGTTCCACAAAGTTTGTTACTTAAACATAGTATTGAACAGGAATCTTCTTTACTGAGGCTACTGGCTCATAGTCTAAGTATGATGTAGTAAGGATATTATTCTTTTCTTCACAGCAAACCTTTAGATGCACCCAGACAGAGCAGAGAGACTAACTGGCTTGTCTTCCATTTTACACAGCTTAACATATATTTCACTAACACCAGGGTATTATTATCTCATCTCATTTATTAAGTATAAAATCCCTTAGCCTCCAAATTGCACAGAGAGGGATTTTAAACCTGCATTTACATGAGAATAGCAAGCACAATTCTTACAGTTTTTCCTAATCAGACAGCATCCTATCATTTTTGATATATAAACTAATGACCAGCTTTTAACCATGTGAGAGGACATACTCTTCCATATTCAACTTCATCTGCATGTTTAAACATTCAAGGCATTAGTGCCTTGGAGACAAACCTCTGTTCCTTTAATATAACTCTCCTAGTTGACAGCAATATATTAATAAATGTCCTTCAAGTACAGTACACTAACCACCTTCACATATATAATTTAACATATTCACTTAGACTAAGATTCTCTAGTTTGCTTGGCCTATAGTCACAAAATACTACATACCCATCAACGAAAGTATTTCTTTGTTAATATGGCTTACCTCTTTTGGACACTGATTTCTGCAGGAAACAAGAAGCTCCTTTTCTTTTAAATCAGCAGATGTTAGTTTTCTGTAAAAGGAAAGATGTATTTGTGTTAAAAAACCCCCAAACTATTTAAAAACAGCAGAAGTCAATGCAATTAGGAGTGTATTTTCCAGTTATTTCACTATAAAAAAAGTGGACTCATTTGTCCACATCCTGTGTGACAAATATAAATTGCCCTGGTTTACAGACAAACCCACACAAATTTAGAAGATTTGAGGTACTTCAAATAAAATGAACAAAGAAAAATATACTTGCATATGATTAATATTTTCAGAACAATCCCCAAGTTCCAACTTATATTTCATGAAGTCTAGCTTAACGTCTATCCACACACACAAATGATTAAAAAGGTGTACAAATTGAAAAACTGAGCAGTTTTTCAATTAAAACAGTTAGAAATTGGAAGACATTAACTGCAAAGACAAAGACCTTTTAGACTAACTACATTCATTCCAATCCTTGTATAAAATTCTTCTTTACATACTCTAAAAGAAGCACATATAGAACAAATTTTATGTAGATTACTTTATATTTGCATAATTCAAAGGATTCTGTATTATAAAAACAATTTCTGCTCATGAGACTCCATGCATTTATAGCAATATTTATAGCAATTTTAGAATACCAAATAAAATACTTGCAGAATTTAAATAGAAAAAAAAAGTTATCTTAAAAATTATAATCAAAAGAAATTTTATAAATTGCCATAGGAGTAGCTCCCATCCCCAGACATTTCCAATTATTTCCAGTTAATAGCATTCAAATGAAAAGCTGGGTTGCGTTCTGACACTTACAAGCATTCAATATACAGTACTGATAGTTTGCAGTGACACTTTATTTTAAGCATCTGGAGACATGATGGGCAATTCCCAGGATGACAGGGTAAAACACATCGGTGAGGACAGCCAGGTAGCCGGGGCTTGGTGCACTCCTCTTCACACTGCGAACATTCTGGACCCGCCTAACAAAATTAAAACAAAGTACTAAAGAAAAAGCCAAGTGCTTGTTTTGTGAGGCATCATTTATGATCTGTTACACGGAAGAAAGAGTTGGGGTGTCTTTGCTATGAGAATCAAGTTATTCAGTAACATCTTTCACAAGCAAGAGTAATTATTAAAATATGTTTTTTAAGAGAAAACCAGAAATGCCAGTGTTTGTCAGTCAAAGAGAATTCTATTTTCCCTCCTAGGCATAAAAGAGCCTCCTTTATATTGGTGCTTTGGAAAGTGACCATAACCCCTTTTAATTCTCTAAGGAAAATTGTTAGAAAAATACGTCATTACATTTCAAAACCAACTTATCTCACTCATCATGTTCATGTAGTGCTTGAGTCATTACATACTACCCTCTAATACAGGGGTAGAGGGATTGGTTTGCTTGATTCTGATAAGCAAATTTTAAGTAATTTCCATACACACATGATATTTGGTATAATCTTCCAAAAAGAATTATTAACTTGCAAATATGCCAGGAGCTGCTTAAGGTCTTGCTTTTACTTCACAGACTACACAAGTCTGCAAGATCTGTGATGTCACTCTCATGCCGGGTGATATGAACACTGGCACAAGGTGATGAACAGCAAAGCACAGTAAATAAAGCTTAATTTCTACCCACATTCTTAACAACACTTCCAGAACCCCAGTCTGCAACCAAAAACACCCAGACAGATTGACAGGATTTATCAACTGAACCTACACAGCACAATATTTAAGGCCCACTACCACATACAATGTTTAGTTTTCAAGAAGTCAACCAAAGTAAAGCAAATTTATCCAGGAACAAACCTACACAAAGCTTCCCCAAAAGGACTATTCTAACACCAATGTTCTACTTTATGCTGTTCAAAATAACAGCACAAGTATTTTAAGATTTTAATAGTTTTATCCCAGTCTTCTTTCCTTCTCCTTCTACAGTTGAACAACTTTTACTGAAGTTTAAAAAGAAACCCTTGTACAATGATTGTTTACAAACCTTAACTAAAAAAATTTCAAATCTAAGAAAAACAACAACAACTAAAACCATTTAGAAAACTATCATATAACATTTAACAGTAGGTAAAAGCAAATAGCTGGCCTTTCTGCAACATTTTTCCAACACAACATGCAGAACAAACTGAAATTCCAGACAGAAAAATCACTACTCAGACATATAAGCCAGAAATTTAATCAACCCTGACTACATTTAGTCTACTAAAACAAGAGAACAAAAGCTCTAAAGGGCAACACCAACTTGAGTTCATAAGAATTGAAGGAAATTGAGAAATGAGATTTGCCCATGCTTTACAGGTACATAGACTCCCATTCTTCTGGGAATGTACTGCCTCATTCAAAATGAAGCTAGGAAGAGTCCTGACTCATTCACATTTTAACTGGCTTCTCTGAAGCAGCAGGAAGGCAGGCTCTTATAGTCAGAACTGGGAATGCTTAACTATCACTCTCACTATTTACTGATGTCACTCTGTTGCTGCAAAAGTTACTGCTCCACCAGTTGCACTAACAGCCCATACTCCTCAGACAAAATTTCCACAATCATAGATTAATGTGTTAGCTACGATATACAGTTATTAAATAATGACACCACCACTTCCAGGACATGAATCCACAGAGATGATATGCTATTTAAGTTTAATGTAAGCTAGTTAAAATATAACATTCCTGCTTTATACCCAACCAAATCCTTCTGTTTTCTAAATGTCCAGACTGCCCACACTGCAGCTTTTTCTGAAGTTGAAGTAAAAAAAAACTTGAGAAGCTGTTTTCCTCCAAATCACTTCTCTCCCAAACCACAAAACATATATATGTAGCTCTGACTGCTCATAACTTGAACAATGTTAAGCTTTATACTTTTGTTTCATGTTAGCTTCAGCAGTTAACACCTGCAACTTCTTAACTGCTTAAATGAGAGTTTCTAATAGACACTGATAAACATGAATATATCATCCAAGTACTTTGAAAACTCTTCAGCAATTCTGCAACTTTTCCAGTGCTCTCCTAAAGGTCTCCCAGCCTCCTCAACCCATTTAAACTCTCCTCAGTAGTTTCCCCAGTAGATTGCAAGTGCATTTGTATACAAGGATTATCAGTAGTTCCATTGATCTTGACAGTTTCAAAAAGTAACATTAGAGGAGACTTCTCAAGGGTGTTAAATAAGGTTCTGATGAAATCAAAGTAATGCCATCACAAAACAAAAAGTTATAGAAATTGCAAAAAATGTAATATTGTCTCAGATTTATAGTTTAAGGAAATAGAGATTAGCTAACTGTCACTTCATCAATGGGAACAGCACACATGCAAGTCTCCCAGTGGGATCTGGAATAAATCTGTATCTTCCAGCTGCAAATTCCTTATTTTCCAAGTAAAATTGAAGACAACACCCATCCATAAAAAATACACAAAAACAAAAGCAAAAAGGAAATTAACCTACCTTCTTTCCATCTGAACTACTGTTTGATTTAGTAACATGATGACATTCTTTCATACAGGTATGATTCTGACAATTAAGAAGTCGTCCACATAATCTCTTACATGAGTAGGGATTTGCAGAGTGACATGGTAACAGACTAACCTAAAAGTTAAAAATAAGTAAACAAATTTAAATATGCAGATGGGATATATATACAAACATTGCACATATGTAACATGTGAGATATACATATTTACACACAGAGACACTGAATTATTACAGAGATGTTTTGGCTCTCCTTTGAAAAATAAAAAAAAACAGAGAAATTCTATTTGATTTTTTAAGTATCATTTGGGTTCCTGTCCACATAACAATGTATTCATACAGATTTGTTTTACACTAATTGTAATAGGAAAACAAGCACATTTCATTAAACAAACTAACTTTTGCAGCAGTTTTCCTTTCTGTTTAAAAGACTGTTATGCACTCAAATCTTTTAGCGTCATTTGCTCCATCTTTCTGAATCACACTCGTGTCTTCCATTAAAGGTTCCTAGGGTGCTTTACTATTATTGCAAAAGACAGTAACAGTTTGCTTTCACAGGGATAATTGTGTTATGGTCACCATAAATGAAAAATATTTTACAGTCTAAAAACAGAAAACAACCTGCAAGCCAGAAATTCTAAAAAGCAAATACTGACTACATCAAATATAACTCCCAGGAGAGGTAAGGAGAAGCAGAAATAGCTCCATAACAGGACTAAGATTTTAATGTCTTATGTCACATTTGTACTTTACAATTTGAGGTCAACACTCTTGTTAACAGAACTCTGCAGAAACCTTCAGAGCATCTACTTAGAAGCCACCATTACTCTTCATTGGTACTGAAACCAGTGTAAACTCCTAACTAGGTTACTTGCCTGAAGTTGAACAGTACAAGTCCCTCCATACAAAAGGATTAGAGGAAACTCGCTGTTAGCATTTTCCAACCATTATATAATACCCATACAAAAAAAAAATAGTTTTCTGTGATGCTGTCAAAAAAATTGATTTTTTTTCTTAATTTCATGTCATTTCACAGAGAAAAACAAACTATTCATGATGTTATTACACAAGAGACTAATGTGACATAACTCAGTTTGACTAGACTAAGGGTGTGATTTTATGTTGCAACTGCAGTTGACTGAACAGCTTTGCAGGGTACCCATTCCTTTTCTCTCTTTGAACTCTACAGCCCTCACAGCCATCTCCTACCACTTTGAACAAGTCCTACCATACGTCTCTCTTTACAGAAAGATGATTCAAATAATCAAAATGGAAGAAAATGAATCAATAGAAAAATGTTTCTTGTCTTTTGCCAGTGGCCTAGCCATACAAACAGATGAACACAGGAACTGAAAATAAAGGACATGGCCCCACAGGGAAGAATGAGGGACAGCCTCCCCTCAGCACTGTTCATATTATCTCCTTCAATCAGACAAAGCAAAAATTTAAATCCACTTGCCTATATAAATTTTTCTGGGCTTCACCCAAAAAATACTACTCCACATCACATCACTTCAAAATCCAGTTCATTCAGAAGACTTCTGAACTCCCCTGATCATCCTGACTCACCAAGACTGAGGAGAAGTCTGCACTGCAGGCTGAACATCAAGCATGGCATACACAGTAGAAAACATTGAGGCCATCACATCCAACCACTTTCACCCCCCTGTGTCAGAGATGAAGTTAAGCTGGCTAAAGCACTAATACAACAACCACACCAAGTAGTCTGAACACCTGGCTCCTACTGCCCCTTGAAAACATCCTACTCTGTCTCTGCTGGATGTTTCTGGTGACCAAAGGAGGAAAAGCCAGCAAGCAGCAGGCCTAATAAAAATAGGGTCTGAAGCAGAGAATAGTACCATATCCAGAATGCACACACCAATTACCAAAGCTTTTAATGTTCCTAATATCCCACCCCTTCACATCCTACTCCATCTCCCTCAGAGCACAACATCCTTTCAGTAGCAATGTAAGTAGTCAAAGGATGTTAAAGATAAAAGAAAGAAAAGATGTATCAAACATTACAATTCACTCACTTCTCTACCTCTCCTTGCTCACCCATTGCCACTCAGTTTTTTATGACTATGCTTCTGCTGTGGCTCAGACAGTGACAGCAGATCAGGGCAACAATAAAAATTATCTCTAGGGCTGCACTATTCCAAAACACTGGTGAGATTTTTTCTACCAGGAGTTAGTCTTCCACCAGATAAGGACACAACCACTAGCTCCAGTTACAGCCAAGCACTTATGCAGAATTGGAGCATCCCTCCCAGTAGCATTGTTCAAGTACACAGATGAGAGGCACTGTTAAACAAAGGCAAGAGTGGTGAAGGCACAAGTCAGCCAGGCAACAATGGCAGCTTTCAGAGGGCTGACTAGAGGGAACATTCCAGCCCTCTGGCTGCATCCAGCTTGAGCTCAGTAAGATACAATTTCCTAGAATCAACTGACACTGTAACCAAAAATTGAAAATTTTCAATTAATTTAAACCTAGCTGTGATCTTAGTAATAAATCCAGCTGAGAAAGTGAAGTTTTACTTCCTACAGTTGGAATCAGTTTCTGAAATGGTTAAATGAGGGCTAGAACTCTTGTTACAAAGACAAGCATCAAAGTAGCCACAAACACCAGGAGGCTGATGAGCTGAAGAATGAAGAAGGCAGATGAGAACCATAAGTACTTTATGAGAGCTGAATCCGGAGGGGAGGGGGGGGGGGGAAGGCAACATTTTCAGACTCCAGGTCTTCTACAGGATAAGGAAAGGAAAGAAAGGAAAAAAAGACATGACAACTTTCAAAAGATTTCCAGGAAATCTCCCAAATGCATAAAAGCGATTAACAGATAAGTCAATTAGAATACAAAAACAAAAATCAACAGGACAAGGAAATTCTAGAAACCTTTATAAGGTGTTTAGCCATAAAGATGAATCTCATCAAGTTTTACATTAAATTTTACCTAGAGGCAGAGTAATGGTCTTCCTCCTATGAACAAACCAGAACTAAAACCTACTCAGAATATTAAAATATACCATCAAATTCCTACCAAAAGAAAAAAAAAAAAACACCCAAGAGAGTTCAATGATATGCCCAGTCCAATGCAGCATATATACAAGGAAGCAAAATCAGAGCATTTTCCTTCCTCTAGAACATTTCATGAAATGAAGCAACTAGAAGGAAATTACAAACAGCAGATAAATTGGTGTCATAGTCAATAAAGATCTCCTTCTTTGTCTTCATTTACCTTGTAGCAGCTTTAATGTATGTTTCCCATAAAAAGAGATTTAGAATAATTTGATTTTAAAACAGTGTATGTGTACTACTGCTATGAAATACCAACATATATAATGGTTAAAAAAAGTTAGAACATCAAGACTTCTTTTTTGGGTGGCACCAACTGTTGATAGGTGATTTTTCTGACACACAACGTGAAACAAAATTGAGAGCTACTTTTAAGAACCTACAAGTGGAAGAATGCCGAGTTATTTATTTTTCTAAATATATGTAAAATTATTTAAGAGAAGGCTGTAGACTTCAGCTAAAAGAAATGTTCTTTTAGCTTAAACATCATGTATAATCATACTTCCATTATGCACAGATTTTATATAATTACATAATCTGAAAAGTAATTTTAAGTATGTTGTTAATTGATAAATTGCTTGCTCTAAATGCCAGAGCTCAAACTAAATCAATCCCTTAAAAATACTTCCTAAATTAAATACCAAACAGAAATAAAAAAAACAACCCATACACAACCTTCCCAATGAACAACCAACTCCAGTATCTACACAAATGAAAATTACTGTCCAAATAGTAAAAAAGACAGTATATTTGCTTGTTATACAAGTCCTAAGGTGTTCGCTTTTATTCCCTATTCTACACATTGTCAGCAGGCATCCTGATAAAACACAAGAATACTTTACAGCTTACTTCATTCCTAGTTTATTTTTTTATATCTCTTTCATTATAGGAGGCATAATAATAGTCCAACATAAGTAAGTACAGCAATAAGCACCTACTCACAGCAAAAGTTCTCTTAAGAAAGTTGCTACTGCTTTTGTCATTTGTGAACAGTCCCCATTTCCCAGTGAAAATCTCCTCAGGAGCTGGACCTGGACCCTTCTACTGGAGAGAAGCATTCCTAAATACATATGCCTTCACTTATTAACAAAAGTAAATTAATTTGAGCTGAGATTATTTGTTTGGAACTAATGTGGCTGTAAAACAGTGAACAGACATTACATATTTTTTTTTTTTTCTTTCCAGAGATCTCAAAACAACATATAAATGAAGAATGAGCACAAAATCCACTTCAAATAAAATACACTTCCTATACACATTAATGAATCATTCTTTCCCATAACTTCCACCAAAATCTCAAATAGGAGACAATTTCACTCGAGGAAATGCTGCATTTCAGTAGGAAGGCAGCACTGACCTCTGTGGGCTGACAGAAGTAACAGTTCATCTACAGTACCACGTAGCATCAAAAAATTTAAATAATTAAAGTCAGCTGTAGACTCACAGGGATTTGTCCTCATTATCTATGCAAATCCATATATAAAACATGACCCAAAGCCACTGAATGATTTTGCCAAAACTTGCATGCAACATAAAATGAAATATTTTTTAATTATTCTGAAACAAGTAGTAATAAATATGTAGTAATTGTTACTATTTTCTCTAGTAAGTCTAGTGACACTGTCCTTCTGCTATGAGGAAGGACAAACTTCACAGTCATGTACATCTGATCAGGACCAAATCCTTTTACATTGTCACATTATAGACTGGGTCTACTGACCACAGCTTGCATTTTATTTATGTATAAATTCATGGAAGTTTGGGCGAGATTTGGTATGTCCTATCAGAAACCATGTAACTGACTCAATAAAAAACTGGCAAATACACATGTAAGTTTCACTTGGGAAAAACAAAGTAAAGCCCATCTGTTTCAGCAACAAACAGACAAGCACTGTTGTTCTTTTCATCCACTTTCAGGATACACTTTTTTTCAGCAACCATCAAGCTGCAAAACAGCTCTATGGAAAAGCTGCATTCACAGACTGGATAGGTTAGGGAATGTGCTGCTTCAACAGACTGCAGCTACACAGACACTGGTAAGAACATTCAAAGATGTCACCAAAACATTATCAAGGCACCATTACAACACACATCAAGAAATTATTAATAAAGGTCAAAGAAAAAAATGAATCTTCAATAATTTTGTATTTAATTTAGTGGTTTCTACAATTTTTTACTTGCTTAAAATGATCCTAGGTTTTTTTATAATACTGTTAGTCAGGCTTTGACAGTGAATTTATACCAGACATACCAGTAGACAAAGCCATAACAGCAAAATGTTTTTCTTAATTAGCTTAGCAGTCATCTTCTGAAATCAAGGACAAAAACTTGACTTTATATTTTGTAACTTTTAGAAATTATTGTGAATGATGTCCGCTACTAAGCATCAATTAGATTCTCTTCTCATGTAAGCCAAAATAGACAGCAACTTCATCAAAAACTAGAGAAGGCTACAGAATAGAAAGTTAGTAACTAACACTAAATAAGTTTCCACTATACTGTCTGATTTCATCCATGTGTGCTTAGATCCAAGTCACATGAGAATTTTCCTGTATGACATTGTATTATTTATTCTTTTAAAATATACGCAGCAGTTCACGGAACTCAAGAGTGTGCAACAGAGAGAGAATATTAACTATAGAATGAGGAGGGGAAAAAGCATAAATATTTAATAAGACCACCAAAAAACATTTAAACACCTGCAAGAAAACACAAAGAGCTAAAAAAATCATGAGTTTAAATTTCTCTCCATGAATTCTACAAAGTCAAATAGTTATACATTCTTCAGAAAGGAACTAAAATAACTTCTGATATGTAAGCATTTGTGTTACGGTACTGCATCGATTTAAAAATATGCATTAAAAATCTGCTATTTCTTTTTAATGCCTTTTGTTTTGCAGACTTACAAAGTAAGGTAATTGCCATTATTTCACTTCACAGGGCAGTTTCCATGACTCACCTCATGCTGTCCAAGACATGCCCTGTTAAAAAAAAAAAAATCAGAGATTTAGAAAATGCATACTTGTTTAGGGGACTTAAAACAGTGACAGTGCTTTTCACACAAAAATTAGTGTATTCCATTTTTTAAAAGTACAAACTAAGAAAATCATCCATCTATGCAGCTCAATGCCTTCTCCTTTGCAACAGCTGTTTGGATTGCTGTGTTTTATAATGAAAATCTCAACATTTGTTTCACATGCAAATTAATTGTAGTTGTATATGAAATCAGTTAATTTCAGAAAGTAATCTGCTTTTGTTCCAAATAGCATCTCCCTTTTCTCTACTAATACATCATACTTTCCAGTTATTTCAGAGATCTAGTCTAAAGAACAGTTTGGTTTTTTTAAAATATCCCTGATAACTTCTCAGACACAAAATAACTATCTTTCCATATAAAATCTCATTTTTTAATTTGCATTTTTTTAATTTTGATACTTACACTGGTATAGGAACCTCACAGGGAGGGCACGGTAGTGCAGTCTGAATGAAGGCTGGCTCAGATGGCTGTTCCCAAGGCCCTGCAGACTGATGCTGAGAGCAAAAGACACCACTTGAATACAAAACATAAATGGAACTATCTGCTTAGCCACAAATAAATGTACAATCCAAAGCTTTTCCAATTCTGAAAAATTCACTTTCTAGTAACTAGCTTTTTACTAATGGAAATCTCCACATCCCATATAGATAGTTATTAAAAAATTACAGTTTTAGCCTTACCTTGATTAGGGATAGGAAAATTAAGTCCTGTGGCTCCTAGTGCTAAAAATTAAGCACCAGACCAAATGAAAAAGACCAGTAAAACAATTCTAATCAGTTAATAAAGGTAAAAATATTTCAATTAGTAAGCTACTTCAATTACCATCATGCACTGCATACCATGTGTTATTTTAAAAACTGCCAATTTCTGACTTCTAACTTGTGCAAAATTTGATGGCTTTGTAAATACCAGACTTAATTTTTTTTGTTCTTATGTTAAAAGCAATTGCTTAAAGCTGAAATTAAATGTTTTTAACACAACTCCAACAAGAATCTTAAAATTTTTTGAGCAATTCAATTACATATTACAATATTACTTAGATTGTAACAAAGGAGATAGAACTATTTAGCATCATGCTGAGCTGAATGCCTGCCTCTGTGCTTGATTATGTGTTTACTCTGAACTCCAAAAGCCTCAAAACAGAAGATTCAGGTCAAACTGATGCTCATATTTCTGAACACAAATAATGCACCATTTCTCACTGTTTACTTACTACACCGGTTTGCTTCACAAGTGCTTCGTCATGGCAGGGAACAGGGCACAAATGACCACACGTTAAGGTTTTCTGGCAGGGCTGGCGACACGGAGGGCACCGCCCAAAGTGACAATAGTGTTTCTCCTGGGTAGAATGGTGACAGGTAGGTGGCCGACTGAAGTAAAATCCAAGAATGAATCAATATGACAGCAAGAAATACAAAGCTAGTCACTAGGCAAGTATGTCCAACATACAAAGAACTGAAATGAACAAGTTGTTGGTGTTTGTTTTAAACTAGTATACTTCTCACCTTCAGCAGGTGGTTAACATCACAATAAAATTAGAGAGGAATTCTAAATAAAATTAAAAATCAAAGTTGGGTTTACATATTCAAACAGCTGTTTCAACCCTAATTCTACTCCGCGCTACATAATCCTGCTACACCCCAGCAGAAAATATTCTTTTTCTTTTGCTAGTAAAGTTTTCTAGATAAACTGCCTCACTGAGGTACTTCAAAACATACCAGAGATGACTTGAAGAAATGAGCTGGACTACAGAGTTGGAAGAGCTTGGTGAGACAGAACCTCCCCCATGAAGCAGGCAAGCTGCTCATGAAACCTCGGTGTCAGAGAGGTATCTGATAGGAGGGATTATTGCTAATCTCCATCTGCATAGTCAAGGATACAGAAGACTGAGAAGTAGTAACTGTAATCAGATAATGAACAATTTCTGCCTTTCAAGGTATATTTTACTACTTTCTGTAAGAGCACTTTATACTCCACTTAAGAACATGAAACAGACACACTTTCTATACTGACCTGCACAGCTGCTTGCATCTGGGAGGTTTGATGGTCCTCTCTCTGCCACAGGGCACTTTAATGACAGTTTTTCCACAATTGCATTTCACATCTACAGTCTCCGGACATGGATTACAACTACCTAAAAATAAACATATTAACAATATGACATGCAAGTCAGAAATAACCCCTCTCTCGCATTTAAAAAAGAAGCCTAGTTATTTGGATCACACAACATTTAGATGTTTTCAATTTGTATTTCAGTCTTACATAACCAAGGAAGAAATGTCATCTTTCATCTAAATTCAAAAAGGGACACTGAAAAACTGGTAAAATAAAGTTTTGCAGATTTAGTATGATATTAATGTTCAGCCTATGTATAATGAATGCTTCCTTGAAAACATCCTCCATCTCTATAAAGTTACTAATCTGATGCATTTTGAAAACTATCTGTAAAAGATCTATGTTTTAATTCATAACTCTCCCACACCATTTCCTCACCAAGTACCAACTGCTTAGGTTTATTGTTGAGTAATTTAACAGCAAGGATATGAATCTTCTAAAAAAAGCAAAGACATGGGATTTTAGCTTACTAATCGTGTTGCATTCTGAAGCTTTAAAGAAAACAACTGAAGATATTTATAGCAAATTTTTTTAAGCAATTCTGACTTGTTAGCAGGATCTGAAAAGCAGCATTTCAAGAAGCAGATGTCTCACTGGCAAAAGGCTGCTGGAGAGAAAATGATGGAAACACTACAGTCTTCATATTGCAAAGAAAATTAAATAACAATATAGTGTTCAGCACGCACAGAAACACAGAATCATTTGGGTTAAAGATGATCTAGCTCCAACCCCTCCACCATGGGCAGGGACACATTTCACTAGTCCACACTACCCAAAGCCCCACCCAATCTAGCCTCAAAACACTGCCAAGGATGCAGCATCCAAAAATCCTCTGGGCAACCTGTTCCAATTCCTCACCATTCTCACAGTAAAAAATCTCTTCCTAATATCTAATCTAAACATATTCTCTTTTCATTTAAAGCCATTCCCCCTTGTCCTGCCACTGCCTGCTCTTTTAAAAAGTCCTCCATCTTTCTTGTAGGCTGCTTTAGGAACTGGAAGGCTGCCAGTCTTCTCCAGATAAAACAACCCAAATTCTCTCACTCTTTCCCCACAGGACAGGTGCTCCATACCTCTCACCATCTTAGTGGCTCCTTCTCTGGACTCACTCCAGCAGGTCCATGTCCTTCGTGTATTGCAGACCCCAGAGTTGGATGCAGCATTCCAGGTGGGCTCTCAGCAGAGCAGAGCAGAGGGACAGAATCCCCTCCCTCCCCTGCTGCCCACGGGGCTCTGGGTGCAGCCCAGGACACGTTTGGCTCTCTGGGCTGAGTGCACATGGCTGGGTCATATCCAGCCTCTCACAGCAACCCCAAGACCCTCTCAGCAGGGCTGCTCTGGATCTGCTCATCCCTCAGCCTGTGTTGATACCAGGAATTGTCCCAACCCCGAGGTTCAGCACCTTGCACCTGGTTGTTAAACCTTATGAGAATCCCAAGGGCTCACTTCTCAAGCTTGTCCAGCTACTTCTGCAATATAAACTGAAGGTCTAAAGCTATACTGCCCAGAGTGGCTAATACGTCTACAATTCACTTAAATATCCTATTAAGGAAGACAACTGACTACACTCTCAAAAATACAGAAAGGCAGAGATCAGAGATTCAGAGACCTGAAGGTAAGGTGAGAGTATACTGTTCTCAAATCAAGCATTATAACGTATTACAGTAGGAAGCAAAAACATTTCTATTCCCTGGCAACACACTGTACATTTCAGCAAGCACACTATTTAAGAAAAAAAGATAAGGAAAAAACCCAAACCGCAAGAATAGATTAAGTTATCTGTTTTCAGGGACTCCTGCTAAAGGCCAAGTGTTTATTATCACCAACCTTTAAAAATTCTGAGATTTGGACCCCATTTGGGAAGTTATTTTCTAGGAGGCATTTATTTCCTTTAATAGCAGTGGTCACTGCGCTCTGACAGCTCATAGGAAAATTACCCTAACCTAGTACTACATACTAAAGATAAAATAATTAATCATAACTTTCAGTAGATATTAAAATATTGGTATATAGGGAGAAACAAATTAATATAAATATTTTAACATTAAAATAATTGCCCTTATTAGGAATACTTTCAAACATTTATGAAAATATTACAAAATGTACTAGACTATTTTGTTAAAACACAGAATTTAGGAAAGAAAATGAACCTATCATCTTTTATCATTAGTCATTACCTTCATTATACACAACTTTAGTTAGTAAATAGACAATTATGCTCTTTTGATAAGTTACTCATCAAAGTATATATATTTGATATTTACATTCTCAACAATCACTTTTGCTTTCTTACAGGCATTGCTTTATGGTTTTCATATTAATTCCTAAAAATCTTTGTCACTTTTAGCCAGGTTGTAAAATGCAAGCAGCATCAAATATAAACAATCATTAAACATAAAAGCTTATTCTATAATACAGCATAAGCTCTTTAGTTTTCCAGTCAGAATTCTAGAATTTAGTTATCAACCAAACTAGTGTGGAAAAGCAACTGTTACTGGTTTTCTTGACAGTACACAACAAATTACATATTTCCAAGATTTCAGAGAGCTACATGGGATGGACAAGAAAGGAAAGGGAAAGAGAAAAGGGGCACAGTATATAGAGAAAAACCAAACTGCTAGTTTGTGGTGACAGATTTAATAGCAAGCTAACAGATACAACTACCACATTTACCTATCCTCCCCTCCTAACAGTCACTTCCCCAGAAGGAAGACTGGCTGAACAAGTTATGATTTATTTCCTGAGGCATTGCAATTTATACTTCAGAATACTAAGGAAAATTACAGAGGCTACTCGGCTGCTGTTTCAGCATGGCAGCAGCCTCTATGGGGAAAATTGCTCAGACAGCAGACAATCTTTCAGCCATTCCAATTTAACCCCCTACTAAGCAAATGTCAAAGCAATCTGCCAGGTAATTTTGCCTATTTCCAGCATCTTTCCTACCAAGGTCACTGGATTCAGAAGCAAACTTTTTTGTCATCCTTCTTATAGTTAGTAAAAAGTTCTTATTTTCTTTTACCAGAAGGATACCAATATACATTCAAATTCCATCATTTTTTTTTTTTCACTTTAAGCTCACTTGTACTGAATGTTGCATTCAGAATTTTTTGAAACCATCCAGACTCAATTAGCAGCAGCCATTTCTATATGCATTTGGACTTTGTTATGTATATTCAGTGAACATAATTATTGGGAAAAGGAAGTCAATCCATGGCTTTTGTATTACACAACTGGAAAGGGGACAAGGGTGTTTTCAGAGGAAAAGTATTAAGCAAAATCACCAGGTAAAAACTCAGGTTGCCACTATGTAAGTCCTTAAGTTTTAATCAGCACTTTCAAACACAGTGCCCTCACAAAAAGCCCACAACAAGAGAGAGAATTCATTAGCACCACACACAGTCATGCAAGCATGAAACCTGGCAAAAATAAACAATATTCCATCACTACAGGGATTCTTCACCTGTTCTTACCTCTGTGGCAGCCTGAAGGACATTTGTGATTTCTGCAGCCAAGAGTCCGCCCACAGACTTGATCACAAGGCGGACAGTTTCCAGGACAGCACTATTAAAAAAAACCCATGAAGTCTAATAACTGGAGACAGAATTTTCTGGTGTACACTTTCCCTCTTCTGTCATTTTTTCAATCCTTATTTTAAAAAAAGTCAGTGCAATTTAGTCAAATTTCCTCAAACTCATTCCAGAAAAAGGCTACCTACCCATAAAGTGGTTTTTCAAAAAAAATATTATTACAAAATAACAAGGAAACACACATTTGAATGCATCATTTCAACACATTAAAAAGGCAGAGGGCTTCAAAAAAGCATAAAGTTCAAAATATTGTAATACTTTATTCACAAATAATTTTGGAAGATAGGACAGCTAACAGGTCACCTCATTATTCTGAAATTTCTTCCAATTTTATGGTACACTGTCCCCAGCATAAAAACGTTGCTAACCATTTTTTATATACCTTTTACCTCTGTAGTAAAGGCAGTTAACTTCAAGACCAGTTATCTATTTTCTATTCTTAAATAAATCAGTAACGTGAAAGAATCAGAACATTTCACAAAACCATCACATCAGTGGATGCCGTATCAGAAGAGAACATAATCTTTTCTATTAACTTGAAAAGTACCCTCTTTCTGACAAGAAACCTAGATTTTCCACCATGGAGGCGTCAACATTGCATTTATTTGTTTTGTAATCTTTTCACATAAAATAAATTCACTACAACAACAACATTCAAAAATACTTAAGACTAAAGCTGTATTTTTTCATGCCTATTTGTAGTAAGTAGTCCAACTTTCACAAAGTATTAATTTACAAATAGGAGGCAACTTTCAGGTTCTCTTGAACAAATTAACTGAAAAGATACTTCTGACACTTTTGACTTCAAATAAGAAGCAAAACAAACTCCAATTCCCAACCGTCAGACCACTGCTGCTTGCACTGCTGTGTACGTGGGATGAAATGCCAGGCTGTCAAAAATAGACTGTGTCCCTGACAAAGTTGTAAGTGATTCCCAGCTCTTCATACAAAGTATGGGAAATAAACTGACCTAACTACTGCAAAATGCATAAAGCATCAGTGACAACTCAAGAATCTGAAAGCAAAACTGCCTTCATGAACTGTAGAGTTGTCAAAAATCCCCTCCCTGTTTATAAGGCCACTGAGTGTTACTTGATGTCATCCTTTTCAGAGATTTCTGGTACACTGAAAACTGGTTTAAGTGACATGGAATAAAACTCCTCTTTCTACACAACAAAATTAGGTGGAACAAGCTAATGTGATTTTATCTAGTTTTTTTTTTTACAAGTCAGCTAAACAATGCATTTGAGAAAGATTATCCCTGGGCACTTACCTTCCTCCGGCACTGGTGCTTCTGACAGTCACGGATTTTAGTACACTTTGTTTCACACAGATATGGCTTATGGCACGGCATGCGCTTGGTGTGCTTCCCACAGCGACACTGCTTTTCAACCTCCTGAGCAGCAAGACAAGGAAAAAAGGCAGAGTGTTTTTAATACAAGATGAAAAAAAAACCTGAAAATAAATGTTCTACTACTATCTGTAAAGGAAAGTTCAAGGAAAAGTAACATTACAATGCATACACAATGCAAGTGTGTCATGATGTGCAATGATGGTAAGTGTAACTGCAAAACAAATTAATACAAAAAATTACCTCTCCTGCACATTAAACTAGATTAACCCCTAGTGTATACAGATAATTTAAGAAGTAGATGAGCAGGTTTATCTACCTTTATCATGGCTGTCATGTGATGATTACTATCACCTAGACTTTGTAGCCAAAGCTGGTTCAGGAAGAGACACCTGAGACCTGACATAGCAACAGCTTTGTAGGCCAGACCACAGACGCTCCAGAGATATCTAGAGCACAGTAAAACTTAATTTTGTTACGAAGAAGAAGATAATGTTATGTTATACCATCTTCCATCTCACTAATGAAGGAATAGCACAGAAAGACAAAGCTAGAAGGAAACTAGAGAAGATAGGGAAAAAATTAAGTGTATTTTAGGGCATAATAATTTTAAAAAACAAAATAAAATAAAACCAAGCCTAAGCAATACACTCATCCACAGGTGCAGCCTCAACTCAACACTCAACTACATAGAGTTGTGTTGAGGTGGGAGGGGAATAATGAAAGAACATGTTGCTTTTAATAAACAAAGTCACAGATTTGTGATAGATATGATTTCATTTTCCTTAGGTGACCTGCACTGTTCCAGGCACATAGTTTAAGAGCCCAAACAAAATGTGAACCTGAAAAAGTAAGACTAACCTGTCTGCATATTTCACAGGGACCCCGATGACAGCGCTGTGAACATTTATGGATGCCACATTCCAGAACTTTGTCACAACTATCACCACAAGTGGGCACATCTTCTGTACAAGGCAATGTAAACTCTAGATAAAGAGAGAAAAGTACAAGTAAATATTTAGGGGGAAAAAAAGCCAAAATATTTAGGAAAAAAATGCCATGTATAGTAAGTTCAAATGGCAGTTGTCTTTTGTTTTTTAAAAAACTTCCTTATAATTACTTAGTTATTCACATAAAAAATTAAACCTCTGGTGCTAAAGTAAGCTTTGAAAGCTATGCAAAAAAAGTTAATATACTATTATGGCTAACAATAAGAAATTTTTATGGACCCTGCCCTGCAGAATTAGCCTAAACTACTGACTGTGAAAGACTGGAGGACTTTTTATTCAATTTATCATTTAAAAAAAAAAAAAAAAAAGAGTAGCTTACTTGTTTTTCCACATGGACAGGATCTTTTCCCAGAACGAGGACAGTCTCCACAGGGACCAGCATGACAAACTTTTTCACATGTGTGATTGCCACATGGCAAACGTTTCCCACACACCTGAGAAATTCAATGAAACCAAGTGAATACAATGTAATAGAACTACATACCAATCCAAAACAAGCCAAGGGTAAAAAGAAGGAGTGAGATGCTTCTGGATGGACTTTCACTCTTTCTGAATTTTGTTAATAAATGTTGCATTTGCTGAGTTCACTTAATAAAATTGATCATCCCTACAGTGATCCTTCCTGGAAGACCACAGTACAGTGAGGAGTTAGTGATTCAGAAAACCTGAGAAGTAACAGATCTGTGCTGGGCTACACATACAGCTCAGCCTTCAGGCCTGCATTGTGCTGCATGTACATTATGGCGACAGGATAAACTTACAGTAGCAGAAGAGATTGGAGGCAGCTCCCACTTGGTACCAGTGATTATGCTGTCTGCATGTCCTTGCCTTTATCTAAAAGTGCAGCAAGAAGTTCTCATCTCAATACCCTTCCTGTTTGACTGTAGAACTTATGATCAAGGATACAGACAGCATAATCCTACAATAACCTTCAACAACCAAAGCAGGGTCTGCACTGCGTGCTGCACATCGTGGCCCATTCAATGCTGCACAGCTTGGGGTTCCAGAGATATAAAGGGACATACTAGTCTTTAGATTGTACTCCCTTTCCCTCTAGTGTCAGCTGAAATAAACTGCATTATTACTGATACTTCACAGAGGCCAAGTACTTTCCTTACTGGGATCCAAATGGCCAAGTACCTCCTGGTACAGCCTCTGACCCAACACTTAATTTTTTAAATTATTTTTATTTTTTCCAATCTGTCAATCCATAGCCTTGGTCTTAAGCACAGGCTGCAAATATACTTCAAAGAATTAACCACAAAGCTTTCATTCTGCTACAGTCCTAAAAATAAGCATGAAACTCCTGTCTACTAAGCTGTGGTTTAATTCTTATTTTGAAGGTAACAGCTGAAATTTCAACCTCAAGTACATGAAAAAGAGTATACAAAGTTAAATTCACTGCTAGAGTAACCCCAGAACAATTCCAGAAAAGTAACATTTTAAATACTATAAAAAATTAATGGAGCCACCAATTAAACCTCTTCCCAAACAATGCTGTTTATATTTTTGATTACACTTTCAATTTGATTACACTTTCAAAAGTTAATTTTTTTTCTTACTGAATATGTTTTTCCAATCTTTAATACACAAGCAATCAAATTTTATAAAGGTGAGAAATCCATTTAAAAGCATAGCTTCAACATACCTGCTCACACTGCCACTGAGGGCTTGCACATAGTCTCTCTGCTGTCTGTCTCCCACAGATACACCGTTGTTTACTGACACGTGGACAAGGAGGACAATCTCCTGGATGCAATTGCAAAGTGACATTAAGAGCAGGAATTGCAAAAGAATGATGTATCTTAACAGAAACTACTACTGCTCTGAAATTTAAAAAGGTTGGTCTACCTGCATGACAGGGATTCTCACAAGTATGCTGTCCACATAGCAATGTTCGTCCACACGGCAGGCGGCAAGACCACTCCTTGGCACTGCACCTTCGGGGCACTGCTTTGGCTTTCTTACAGTGACAGGTTGTTGTGACCATCTTTGGGCAAGGTGGACATGGTCCTAATTACAGGAAAAAAATATCTTGCCAATGCCATGCAGCAAATGCAGCCTTGACTACAACTATCTCTTCTATTCTGAGAAGATGGGAAGTTGAACTGTGTAACAGGTACCTAAATACAGGTCACACAATCAAGAAACACAAGGGATTTACCTGGATGACAAAGCAGCAAACATTTATGACCACAGGAAGGTTTGAATTCCTTCTCACATATTTGACCACAGGAGTGAGGTACAAGCCATGGGTCCACTGTTGGATTCTCCACTTTCCCACAGTAACAGTAATACCTACTGGGAGTTTCAGAGCGTTTGTATTCAAACCTACATTTTGGACTAAAACAAGGGAAAAAGGAGTGAAAACAAAAGCAATTTCTCAAAACAATGAAAAAACAACAAAAAAAAGCCGTTTTTATCATTTTGGCTTCCCAAGATTATTTCAATGCTACCAATTAACCAATTTTTACAAATCCTATAATGAATAACAAAAATATACAGTAACACAGAATAACAGTCTTTCTATAAGTCAGATTTTACAAAATATTAATTAGAATGTCTAAGGAATTGTCTCACTAATGCAATCTCTTTCCTCTAAGAATATATATAGACAAAAATCAGCACAGCAAAAATCAGAACAGTTTTTCTGTCAAGCAATATCAAAAGAATCTGTGCAACAGTTAACCTACTTAAACAGAACCAAATTTTAAAAAATATTAAAAACCAGGGATTTCCTAGTAGCAGTCTATTAGTCATGTAAAACAAAGTTTAGCAATGCTATTAAAACCATGCATAATAATTAGAATTTTATCTGAAAAATTTTAGATTCAAGATGTACACCTTCATTTTTCACCCCTGATGTTGACAGAAATTTAAAAAAACATTAGTGATGAAGGTAGATAGTCACTAGAGGCCTGGAATTTATAAAGTGCCACAGGCCCAACAGGCCCCACAGAAGCCATGAACAAGGGCGGAAACACAAGGAAGGAGAAACAAAGAAATTCACATTGCTGGCTACACTGAGAAAAGACAACAGAAAAGAACATCCCCCTCCAAGAAGAACAGAAAGACTCTGAAAGACCTATGCACTCATTTTTATCAAATAAAACATCAATTTGCCCTGCTACAATACATTACAGACTGTGAAGCATTTCTCAATAGTAGCATAGTTTTAGCATGTCCTTAAATGTAAAATAAAATAGCATTTGCCTGAAGAGGCATTATCAACTTGAGATGCTGCCAGCCAACCACTGATACTTTATTCCCTAAACAAACCTGCTTAGGATATTTCATTCATGCAGCTACATTATTACCTTCTTCTTCATACCATCTCAAGTAAAACTGCAAGACCCGATTTAATGTTTGGATTATAATTATAATGAGACCAAAAAAAGATAAATAAATCCCTACATCTTGCTATTTGACAATATTTTTTAAACTTATTTCATGGTGCCAACTTTAAAAGTGAAAAATATGTCATTCAGAAATAAATATCAAAGATGAGACGCATGACAGATAAGTTACCTTCTCAGAGACTGAAACAAATTTGATGCAACAAGGTTTTTATATCACTGTGAAATATTTCTAAATCATGTTAACAAAAAATTAAAATAATTTTAAAAAGCAATAGAAAAGTCAGTCTTCTAAACTTTTTTGTCGCTGTTGTGCACATGATGTACAAGTACCACTCCTTATAAACACCAGCTTACAGAGTTTTCCCAACAGAAATAACTTTGTAAATGTACCATGATGAACTCACCATGGCCAGGGATAATCTTTCTTCCCAAAATCATCATCTGTCAAAGGAGAAGATACAAGGAAGAGGCTGTCCTTGGCCCACTTTTGGATGCACACAAGATGAAATATACAAAAGCATCCACAACAGCTCCAGACCTAAAAAGCAGACATCAAATGTCAATTGCTTTAAATGATGAACATCCATAATATCTAAACAAATATTTCCCTTTAAAAACTGCTTATCAAAGATGGATTGTACCCACTGTTAGATCAATACAGACAGTTTTTCTGTTACAGATTCATACCTACAATTTTTTTTCCAGCTCCCATGGGAAGTTTTTGCCATGACTGACAGAGCCCAAAATACTCAGATAACCAGAGAAATGTTGATTCAAATACACTGTTAGAGGTCATGTAGCACAAATTGATGCCCAAAGAAGGGCTATTGCCAGCTTAGCTCTGTTCAGACATAACTTTGCCAAGCAAAGCTGGAAAGTCCTGAGGGATAGGGACTCCACAACCATTCTGGGCAAGCTACTCCAACTCTCATACTATCTTCCTATATCCAATCTGCACCTATCAAGGCCCAGTTTGTGGAACTCTCCCTTATTAAACCACCTGATCCCATAAACATGACTTTGGCTTTACCCAAAACTATAAAAATTTGGTAAGAAAAGTGCAGAAGAAAAATCTAACTATTTTCTTTTAATAATTTGACAATTTTACGAAATGATAGTGTGAAAACGCAGATATTTTCCCTGTTAACTTACAGAGGACAGTACCAATGACTAAGTTCCTATAACTATGGTAACTAACTTCCCAAAACTAGAGCTAAGCAGGAGATATTACATAAACAAACAGACTTAGCTGATACAGAACAAGATAATTAGCAAACCACTGAGTTATAAAAGGCTTTCAAGTTACCAAATCATCTCACTTCTGCTGAGATAAGATTAACTTGATCAAGAGCCACAGAACTTCAAATATGAAGCTAAACATACTCACTAAGGTCTGAAAGAATATGGATTACATATTTTACGGATTCATACAAAATATATTGCATTTCTTTTTAGAAAGAAGCCACTGAATACAGTTTCCCTGGGTACTTGTAGTCTCTGTATATCTATCATAAGAAATTAAAACATTTTCTGCAATTCTTTTTAATGTTAAACATACAGTTGATGCCTCAGGTTTTAGCTTTTATATTTTTCAAATTCTGCACTGCTTTAGTGTGGAGCTCTGAGCTTCATGTTATTACAGGATGGTAAGCTCTCTTCACAGAGGTAGACAAAACAATTCCTTCTCTAGCTGGGGACTCAAGGACAACCGACCAACATCTCAGGCACAAAAGCATAAACAATGGTGGAATGAAGAGAGAAAAACAAGAAGGATGGGAGTTCATAACCTAAAGCTATAATTGGATAATTAACACCAATATGCTAATGGACCAAAACATATAAAAGTGGCTTTGTGACCGGTTGTCCCATTTTGGGCTCATCTTGGGTGCAGCCCTGGCTGGGGTCTTGTACTGCCCAAGGTGTGTCCACTGAGGCCTTTAGGAAATACCTACTTTACTCTTTAACTCTGCCTAGCTTTTTTTCTAGGTCATCCTTCACAAGGCATCACAGTTATACATTTGATTCAAGTATACATTATACATTAGTATATAAATTAGTACACAGTTATACATTTGATTCAAGTACCTCTAACAGAAAGAGAAAAACATATTTGTCCTGAAATCTTTCCCACATAAAATGTACCTATATGAAATAGGACAAACTTCTCTGACACACACACTTCTTTTTCACCTGATCAGCATTGAGGTCAGCAAAGTTTATCTTGGTTTTCCTGCTGTAAATCTAACAATAATATCTCCTAATGTTCTAGTATTTCATGCCTTGCTTTGCTACTCCATAGCTTACTGAATACACAATTGCAAGCACTGGCATTCAAGCATTTATCTTTGTCACCTGCTGCTACCTAAAACTTAAAAACAGCTATTTTACACAATGATAACAGAGAAAAAAAAACATATTCTGATTACAAGCTACACATATAACCACTTATGTCTTTCAGCGTTTCAAACTCCAAAGATGCCAAACTTGTATTTAGTAATTTTACCATTTTAAAGTGATCAATCCCAAGAATAACCTCAATAACATAATAATAAATAAATAATAATAAACAAGTTATCAGACAGTAACATTTTTTTTGCTCTACAATATTACTGTAAAGTACTTACAGCTTGGTTCCTTTTAACTGAAGCAATGCAGATGAGACATGTCATGGCCCCTGACTGAAAAGCCTCATTCATGTACTGTCTTGTACGTTCCAGTTCACTTGCATCTCCATCTTTAATGGATAAAGATTTTTAAAGCAATTAGTAGCGTTTGATCTGTTCTTTTTTACATGTTGAAACTGCTGCAAAAGCATTTCTTTCTCTGAATTATGCCAGCCATGCATTATTTAAAAAGCCACTTTTAAGACAGTTAAAAGCTATACCATTGTTTCTGCATGAAAAGACAAGAAGTACAGCCAGCATGCACTGCTGGGAAAAAATATTTTAATGTAAGACATCATGATAGAGTGCCTTCCTTCTAACTACAGTAAAATTCTAATACACAATGATACTGCATTGCTTATGCGTTCAGACTGAAATAAAAGTCAATAAATGAAAAAAACATTACCAGTTTGACTGGTGTAAATGGTAAATGTTTTGTCCAAGATCTTCCCTTGTTTTACTTCAGCATCTTCATCATCATCTTCAGATGAGGAGCTTAACTGGTCTTCAACTAGCTTTTTTGCTGCAGCCTGATTAGCCTTCTTAATTTCATCAAATTTCTTCAGTGAAGATAATTCTATTAAGAGAAAATACTAATGATTAATACCATGATAGCTAATTGTAAACATTGTGAAAAACAGGTTAGAAAGTATTGTAAAATAGTTGATAGTTGTAAAGCATGTACTGTTAGTTTGGTTATGGTAAAAGGGGTAGTTGTCAGAAATACGACACTAAACATACCATAATACACCTAAGTAAAGTGCACCACCCCCAAGCGAAACGAGCCAGCCTGGACAGAACTGTAATGGGCCAACCAAGCACCTTAAACCTTCAACACCACATTCAGTTCTCCATACTTTCAACTGTCCTTTTCTTTAAAGAGTTTGCTGATTTTATTTTTTAAGAGTATTACCTCACTAGATTTTCAATACCTCACAAGAAGAGCTAAATTGTATTTACTTATTTGCTGTGAATCATCATAAAATTCACCGCAGGAATTATTATCTGTCAATTACTGCTGACAAATCAAACCTAACATACCAGAATACAGGCAACTATAATGCTGCTTTATTAAAAGGATACTTAAAAAAACCCCAGACATCCCACACAAACACAACTGTCACAGCATGAGGAAAATAAAACACGACATGCAGTTTGTTTATAACAAATATACAGTTGTTATAACTTGCAGATACCATACAAGTATTTCTCCAGCATCTGGTATTTATTAAATTTTCACTTTCTCCCTCAAATTCAACAAATCTTTACTCCAATAGTGTGTTCACGCAATTTCACAGGAACTAGACACGGGTTTCAACAAGTTTAGTTTTAAGGCTTTTCTTAAGAAACTGTGTTGCCACTAACAAGAGCTCTGTCTTTGGCACTTCTCGGGTGTATTTCCCGAGGACGAACTTGCACTCACAGCTGCCGCGCTCACCGAAAGCCCGCACCTTTCCCAGACCGGAGCCAAGTGCTTCCCTGACCTAACACCGTCTCTAGTGAGCAACTCCCCTGGCTGTTTCCAACCACAAAGAAACACTTCATCCATTACTTCACACTTTACTCTTCTGCTCCGAGAAGACGGTGCACCCTGTGCACCCTGGCGGGGCTTAGCCCCTCGCTCCTCGCCCCTGCCCGAGGCCCCCGCGTCTCTCCCGGCAGGAACCTGCAGGCAGGACACGGCACATGGCGAACACCGGCTCGACTCCGCCGAGCAGCGCGGGAGCGGGCCGGGGCCCGCCAGACTCCTTCCCCGCGACGCCGCAGCCAGCCCCGACCTCGCACCTGCAGGGGCTCCTGGCCACCGCCGGCTGCCCAGCCTGGGGCCCGGCAGCGCGGGTAGGGGGCAGAACGCGACACTCACCGCTGGCCCCCTCGCCGACAGCCCCCGCGGCCGCAGCGCGGGCAGCGCCGCGGCCCCTCGCCGCCGGGGGCCGGGCGGCCGCCCCGGAGCGAGCGGCGAGCTCGTCCCCGGGCCTGGCGCGGCCGCGGCCCCGGCCGCCCTGACGCCACTGAGCCTCCATTTGTCCCTCGCCAGAGAGCGAAGAACGGCGGTGGCACCAGACCCTCCGCCTCCCCCCTGCCGGCACAGCCGCTCGGGGAGCGCCCCGCCCGGCCCGGCCCGGCCCGGCCGCTCCGCCCGGCGGTGGAGGCGGCGGCGCAGCCGGGGCTGCCGCGGCAGCGCGACTACAGCTCCCGGCGCTCCCCGCGCGGCGGGCCGGCCCGCGCCGGGCAGCGCCTCAGCCGGCCGGGCTCGGAGCCGCAGCCGCCCGGGTCACGGAGAGTCCCAGCTTGGGAGGGCTGTGGGATCACCGTCCGTAACCCAGCGCTGCCACGTCCACCGTGTCCCCAGGTGCCACATCTATACGGCTTTTAAATACCTCAAGGGATGGCGACTCCGCCACTCCCCTGGGCAGACAGTTCCAGTGCTTGACAACCATTTCGGGTGAAATTTCTCCTAGTAACTAGGAAACCTAGTTACTAATCTAACTAGTCTAACCTCTCCTGGTGCCACTTGGGACCATTTCCTCTCGTCCTGTCTCTTGTAACTTAAGGAGAAGACACCGCCCCCCCCCACCCCGCCTCTCTTGCGGACCTCTATGGAGCGATAAGGTCCCCCCGAGACCCCTTTACTCCGGAGGGAATTTCTGGAGCTGCTCCTGCGGCATGCGGCTCTTGCAGACATTTCCTTCATAGCTCCTGTAACTTCTGTAAGCTCCTGGAGTACGAGAGTTAAAAACCGAACACACAGCCTGTTTAGAAAATTCACTGAAGCACATCCACAAAGTTTTAGTGAGTGCATAGAAACATATATTGAGGAACCTCAATATATATGTCCCAAGTTCTGACAAATAAAGGCAGGTTGAAATAATTTTAATTTTATTGACATTTCCTTGCAGTGCTTATGTGCCAGGAGGAAACATTGCATTTAGACTTTTTTCAGCAAATACCTTCTCATAAAAGTTGTTATAGAAGATTTCCAACCATAAGTAGCCTGAAAATAGTAAGCAAACCACTGGAGATAAATTCTGGTTTTCTGTTTTATTTTGAAGTGGTTCAAATCAAAGAGTTTTTATTCTCAAGAAAGAGAGAGCTAGTTAATAAAATTAATTCCTCAGACTGAAGGATCAATACCAAAAAAAAAACCAAATTTAACAGTAGATAGCTGTCCTTTTTTTAATTAAAACTTCATATCACACATTTATCTAATAAAAAGTCTTGAGCACTTCAACAAAGGTGAGAAGTGCTTTCTAAGTGCCTAGTAGCCATGTAGGATAGGTTGCAGATGGCATACAGATTGCAAATTGTATTCAAGACCTGAGCTGGAAGAATGCTGATTGCAAAGTCTGACTCTCACAATATAGCTAAATACCAGAATAACCCTTGTTCCTGTGTACATGGATAGAATCTTTACTAACAAGATGGCATGCCCTTTCCCCTTATCAGCTAATAAAGCCATTTATCTTTCAAAGCACAGGATCAACAGGGCATGAACAGCCATTTGGTATTTATATTTACCCTTGTAGTTCCGTATATATCCTATGCATGCAGTACTTCATAAAACTTCAACCTTGCAGTAAATCAGGAGTTATTTCTAGATCTCTGGCATCCTGGAAAGCATCAACATTACAAAAAATAAAACAGCCAGAAAGGAATGCACTTTATAAAATACCCAATTTATATTATCTCCATCTCATTAAGCAGAGAATGCAAGTGTAGAGATATTATTGACAGTAACATGTACACATGTATTTTTTAAGAGTGGCAGTCCAGTTGCTCAGATAATCAAATTTCCCTGAACAGAGAATTATCCATTCTCACATTAAAATCCCTTTCTTCACTTCTTTTCATCAAACTTATCCAATATTATGTGCCTCTGATCTAATTCTACTGAAAATACCCATCTGCAAATACTCAGCTGAGACCATAACTAAGCAAACAATTTTTTTGCCAATGAAAAAAGACATAAATTTGGGGGAAATCCAAGGAGATAACATCTTAAAGCAGTTGAAAAATGGATCTAACATACAAATCTATAGACTTTACTATCTCAGAAGTAGTTATGAAAAAATAAATCCTCTATCAGTGGGAAAAAACCGTCTCTTTAGTCATATTCTTCCCCCAACAGCGTCTAGAGAAGATTCTGTAGGAAGAATTTGGCCTGTTGCTGTCATGTTTTCCCCTTGCACTCTGCCAGCTTAAGCAAATGTTACATTAGGGACATAGACAATTTAAATTAAAAATCTTCAAAACTTAATACACTATGTTCTGCAGCCACATGATTACATGGAACAGAACAATCTTTAATGTATATTTTTATTTGTATCATATCTGTATATTTGTATATTATTTTTTATTATTGTGAAAAGAACACTAGATAATGAGCCATCCATATGTTTCATATTGATGCTTGCATAAAGATGCATTCTTCTCTCTGTATTCCAGCCTTTGCATGTACAATCCTGAAAAAAGGTGTAATTCAAACTGCCCATTTATATTTCAAAAAGTCAGCCAAGGTGGACTCAATGAAGTAATAGTATCTCCAAATCTTACAGCCTCCTGTACTCTCACCTACATTGCAGATGAGAGTAGATAGTATTAGTAATTATACCTAATTCTTTTTATAATATTGCATGCTTAATTAATGTCATGTTAATCAATAGATAGTAAAATGTGCACATTTATACACAAATTTATTATAAAGGTTAATGACTTCAAATAATATAGTTGTTACCAAACCTTTCATTCTTTCCATAAGCAGACACAAAGAAATTATTTTAAAACAACCAGCAAAACTTCCAATATTTGCCAGTATATGACAGTGCATGTGCATCTGCCATAGAGCAGCATTACAGGGAGCACAAAACTCATTAGCAGATAGTAATACCTGCTTGTTCAAGAGCAAAGTGTTATCTCCCTTTCTCATTCTTGATTCTTCTTTTTCTGTCCCAAAACTGCCAAATGTGTGCTGCTTGTAGGAGAGTAGTAACATTGTCTCAACAAATATTTTTTTTTGTAATTAATAGTCAGATACTACAAAGATCAGAAATTAATGTGTTCAGCCCCAGTCAGGATTTGACCCTCAGTCTTATTGGCAACTTCCATTGTTTTTATTCTGCTTTTGACAATCCAGGTTTATCTGTGGATGGATCTGCTTCTTCTAAATCTGCAAACTCCTCCTCTATAACTGGCTTCAATATTTTCTCTATTTGTGTAAGTCTTTTTTTCACTTTCTGTTGTGCACCTTCATACTCGGCCAACAACCTGGCAAACTTTGTTTGTAACCTGTCCATAGCACGTTCCATGTAGGCGACCTTCTCTTCCAGATCTTTAGGATCACTTCCTAAATTTGCAATTTCAATGTCCAGCAGCCCATCTTTCATTAGGATTTGCTTGCCTTTTTCTTCCAGCATAGCCTTTGCATCTGGATATTCTGTTAAAGCCTCCATGAGATCATCTTTAGACAGACAAAACAAGTCCGAGTATCCAATACTTTTAATATTGGCTGTTCTTCGATTGCCAGCTTTGCTACCCTTGATATTAAGAATGCTGATTTCTCCGAAGTAGCTGCCATCACTTAGGACCACAAATTGGGTAATTCCATCATCAGCAACTACTGCCAGCTTGCCTTCTTTGATAATGTACATCTCTCGTCCAATATCTCCTTTTCTGCAAATATAGTCTCCAGGACTGTAAACTTGGGGCTGGAGCTTCAAAACCAGTTCAACCAGCAAACCCGCTTCACAGTCCGCAAAAATACGAACTTTTTTTAGCGTTTCCAGGTGAACGTTGATTGCAATCTCTGCTCTTAGTTTATCTGGCAGATACTTCAAGACTTCTCTTTCATCCACAGCCTTTTTGTTTGTCCACAGGTAGTCAAACCACTTTATAACTCTTTTTTCCATGTCCTTACTCACATTCCGAAAGTGCATATACTGCTTGATAGCATCAATCCTTGCTTGAAACTCTGCCCTGGCAGCATTCATGTTGGAGATCATTGAGCCCACGTTACCAACAATGGTAGCAAAGATCAGTACTCCAACCAAGAAGTCAACGACCACAAAGAAATACTCAGAATCTCTTACAGGAGGAGGGGTTTCACCAATAGTAGTCAGAGTCAGCGTTGACCAGTAGAGACTATAGACATATTTTCTAGTCAGGCGGGCAAATTCAGGATCTGAGATGTTGGGGTAGACCCATGTGTCAGCCCCAAATCCAATGGCTTTTGAGATGGAGTAGTACACACAGGCATTCCAGTGAATAATAATCACAATGTACATGACAAGGTTAGAGATCCTGAAGATATTTGGGTAGTTTGTTCTTGTTTCCGTTCTCTGGAAGAATTCAAACATCCGAGCTACTCTAAGTAGTCTGTTTATTCTTAATTCTGGGTAATTCAATCCTAACTTAAAGTATAAGAGATCAGTTGGTATGATTGACAGAAAATCTAGTTTGAATTGAAAAGATTTCTTGTATTTCTCTCGTAGTTTATGTTCTTCTTTCACCAGAAGACCTTGCTCCAGGTAACCTAAAATAAAAATGCTAGAGGTTCAAATATACTGTGTTTAAGGTCAGTCCAAATCTACTTTGAAAAATATTTTGGGTGCAAATTCCACATGGAACATAACTTCTTTTACTTTTTAATATTTAATTTATTATTTCCAAATAGCTTAATGCTATATGGTTCCACTTGAGCTATGAAAAATAAACAATTCTAGATCTGAATATTTTCCTGCACTTTCCCACTATGGTGGACACCTGAAAAAAGAATCCCATCTTCCTCTCCAAAGAAAACTCCACAAGCTATAGGAAGGATGATTAATGAGGAAAGGAATTTGAACACAGGAATTGCAGTTCCATATTGAGTGTATCTACTTAATAGCTCCATAGGTTAATATTTTAAAATAAATAGTTGCAGCTGAAGTTAATGGGATGTCTTGCTTGCTCAATGATCTTGAAAATCAAGCAAATACTTGAATCTCCTATTAATACAAAAACCAGATTTAGGTGCTAGTTTTTCAGAACTCCTGATCCTCTCTTGGCTGCACCACATGTTTATTTGCCTTGGTGAGTCAGCTGCAGGCAGAACAGCTTGTACGTGCATA